GATATGTCGGTGGTACCTTTAAATGTCGATCATGGGATGGAGCACTTGGACCAAGTGTAAAGGTTGAGTGGCATGGATGTTATTCTCAAGGCCAGCAAGCTCCAAGTCTGAAACAAAACTTATGGAGGTTGTGAGTGAGACTCCTCCAAATGGTTGAAGGTGTGGTTAAGAGACTAAAGTAAAATGAAAAATTTAGTCACTTACACAATAATAGAAGAAATTTACTATCCTAAATGGTACAAGGGGTGCAAGAAGATGGCATTGCTCCTATAAACCAAAGTCTAAGAGCACTCCATATATCATATTCAGTGATTATGAGCCTCTAGATCTAGTCAAATTGGACAATCCACTAGCTTCACTTGTTCACTAGGAGGGACTGGAAAAGTATTGTGAGTGCAAGTGAAAAATTGGTTCAACTAGTTGGCCAAGTTAAGTGGGCTTAGAACATGGGATACATAAGAGCAAATTGCTAAGTTAAACTTAGAGTTGAAGCACTTAAATTTACTTCAACAAGTGTGCCAAAAGTGGCTATGGTGTCATGGAAAAGAGGAACACTATCATATATCATTGGGCAAAATTCTTCATGATTGAGAAGAAATAATTAGACCTAAAGTTGGCACTACAGATGCTTGTGAATTATACTGCTACTAGAATAGATATGATACTTAAGCTTACTCAAACCCGATTGTGATAGGGATGTGCTTCTTCTTCCAACCTCATATGATGGCTATAATAGTGGTTACTATGTTAACCCTTGTGATCGCCTTGCCATAATCTTGGGACATCGAGGGAGCCTCAAGGGCTTTTTGCTGAAGTGCAATATAATAACCATTGGCCATGAGGCTCAAGTTGTCCACAAAGGGTTGCATCATAGTTTATTGTTGCTTCATAGGGCATTGCTCTGGGTGTAGCTTTTAGCAATGATCATCATTATGAGTTTGAAGGTATATCTTGAAAGAGTAGAGTTCCTCTAAAAGCCACTCTTACTATTTTTCTTAGAGTATAAAGTTTTGCTACTGCTACAATAACAAAACCTTATATTGTTAAAGCTTTAATGATTGTTAAATGAAGATGTGTTTATGCCACTTTACATTTCCACTTGGTTCAAGTACTCCACGTGTTCAATTTCACTACAAACACTCAAAGTACCACTGACATAAAGGCTATATCCATTCACCATTGTCTCATTGGTAGTCCAAAACCACTCATACCATAGACTTATTTCCCAAGGATTGCGCCACTCGTCTATGAGTGGTCATCCCATAATTACAGTTAACATCCTTAGGATACCTAGAGACATGGGGAACACCCTTCCCTAATATCCCTTCTTCAGTCCCCACTAAGTTCCATATCATTCATGGTAGTGCTCATTAATACGGCTACTGAGTTAGAGCCCAAAGGCCCAACCATTATGTCCCATTGACATTTAAGACTTCCTCACCACGTGACCATACCCTTAGTCACTACACAAAAGAACTACTCCTCTTCCTTTCTATAAACTAAGACTTTGGGATGATATTTTAAAACACTATGACCCTATGTGAACCATATAGGTACTCTCCCCACTTTTCAACTTTGGGTTCTTTAGCTATGTGGCTAGAACAAAGTTTTAATGAGCCATATTAGGTAGTGCCACTCACACTTAGATTGGGAGCATTGACCTTTCAATCTCTTAGGGCAATTAGAGTTGGCTCTTGAACATTTCACTAATTTACCCTATTTGTCCATTTATGTTTACTCTAGCATTGGACTCCTCAATAGTTATATCATCACCCACCATGTAGATATAACCTTCCTATGTTATAATGGGGTTTGGACTCCAAAAGAACTAATTTAGCTAGGAAAGGCCACACTCTCCCTATTATACTTTTGAAACCCCCCCAACCCCCTTGCCTCAGGATGATCACTTTGGGCTTTCACCCCATGATTTGTATTAGTGTTCAAACTCACTCCCAGACTCAAATTCGGACTCAAACTCAGACTCAATCTCGGTCTTGATCTCAGTCTCAGACTCCTTCTTGATCCATCTTGGACTCTATCTCGAACTCCTACTCGATCCATCTCAAACTTTATCTTGGCCTCCTTTTTAGACTCCATTTCAAACCCATCTCAAACTCCATCTGTCGCAAATATGACTTTAGGTATTGAAATATATTTATCGGCCAGTCCTTACCTCCTTACTGCCATAACTGCAGAAGGTCGATATTGCTGGTTCATTTTAATAGCCCCTCTTGTTCAAGTGTTAGTAAACTAGACTTAGCATCTGTACTTGGTCGGATGAGCATAAGGAAGGAATTCTTAAGTGTCTATTTACCCAAGCATACTTAATCCGACTTGTTAATTCTCTTTTACTCTATCTTGCACTAGCTTAGCAAAAACCTTCGCATATTGAGTCTAATCCCTCAATATCACTACATGATAACTTACTGTGTTTGCCAAACACCCTTGTTCTCATGCCTTTTGTGTTAATCTCATTTCAATCCCAAAAAATATTTATGGAAATAGTCTAGACTCACTCATTTGGCACATCTATGAAATGTAGAAATTGTCCTGAACACAATGGTGTTCATCCTATATTCAAATTCGCAATCTAAGGACATTCCATGTTTAGTAAATTTAGAGCTTGTCTCAAAGACTAACTCTTGGTACTAAGGGAGGCTTAGGGTGACAGCCCAAAACATGTGTTCCTCAAGGGGGGGGGGGGTTCCAAATGTATAATAGAGATAGTGGTTGGAATGCATATCTAACCACTTAAGACATTAGTTTAGCTCCCATTGGGCTATGCCACTCCTTGTTCTGTATCTGACTTGGGTCTAAGCCTAAGCTTCATGCTCCTCTAGTTGCTAAGGCACCCTCCTCCTTGTGTTAGGCTACTGGTATGCCAAAATTGTGCCAAACACTATCTGATACCATTTTGCGTGTAGGTGTTGGATACAGGGAGTTTTTGTTCGTGGGATTGTACTAGACTCTCGTTTCATAGTGCAACAGGCTTGGAGTTCGGGTCCAAATTTAGGTGCGTTACATTTGGTATCAGAAGAATAGTCTCAACGATCCCTATCCAACTTTTATTGGATTTTCTGACTCAAGTTACATATGTAGAGATTTTTCTAGTAGATCCAAAGTGACATGTATAAGATTAGTTAGATTGCACCATTCGATAAGAATGTTGTATACATGTTCAATTACTGATAGAGGCATACATGTAGCTAGCGAGATGGTGAAAAGGAACCATGCTGATGACACTAAAACCTCTAGACAGGGGAATCAAGAGGAGGAAAATTCTGCTAGAGATGCTACGAAAGAGGTTGAGGCTAAGTCAGAAGAGGAAGAAATAAACACTGCAACACTATAGTATATGGCTCAGAAAGTCAAAATCGAGAATTTGCGAAGGGAAATTTGTAAGTTGAAGAAAGAGAACAAAAAGAGGAAGAAAGAAGCTGAGGCAGCTAAACCAGCTAAACCTAAGAAATCAGACTCTTTTTCAAGTTTTGAGGACGATGAAGTTTTGCAACCCCCTTCAGTTGCACTAGTTTCAAAGTTCAAGCCTCCAAAACCACCCAATTTCAAGGGCATGTAGGACTATTAGGTTTTGGAAGACTATATAGAAAATTATTTCATAGAAACAAACATAGATAATCGTACAAAAGTTACATGTGTGCAAGCCTTTCTCACCGATCATGCCAAAACTTGGTGGTGCCAAGTATGTGCTGAAAAAGGGCAGACTAAAAGTTGGACTAAGTTGCAGTCTCGTATCCACAAGGAATATTTGTCGGATGATCTTGGTCTAAAACTTCACATAGAGTTGTGGCGGTTAAAAGTAAAAAGGGGATCTTATGTATTACATTAATGCGTTTGCTCAAAAACGCACTATAATTGCCAATATAAGTGATGAAGATGCTTGGAGTTATTTCCTAGAGGGTTTAAGTTCACTTTCTCACAATGAGATTTTGAAGTTTAATAGAATACCTAGATTATTTTCATCTCTCTAGTAGTAAGTATGAAGAGAAAAATGAGAGGCGTGTTGGTTAAAGACATCCACCATCTCAAAGACTACCCAGTCTTTGATTCACAGGCATCACAGTAGGCTTTTGTTACATTTGGGAGCATGGAGGAACTCATGGCCTTCTTGCGACAGTAGCATCTGCTCTGCCCACGCGGCTGCAATCCTTCGGCACTCACCAAGTTTGACTATTTTGAAAACCACTGATCCAAGCACGCTACAAGTGCACGGTGTGCAAACAGCACTTCACCCTAGGTGGAACAACACGAGCGAAACGAGCCAAGAAGGAAGATGGTGGTTGTCCAAGAAAGAGACCCAAGAAGGAGCAGCAGCAAAAGAAGTCAAGGGGGCAGTGTCTTCCTTGCGCGATAGAGGTGGGTCAATGCCCTAGTCAGCGCCGGGATCAATCGTTGCCAGTCAACGCTTGTGACCTCGAGGGATACATGCAAGGCAAGGAGATTTTCCAGGAGGTTCAGAAATTGAAAATGGATTTGGAGGACAAGGGCCCTTCCGTGGAGGACGAGGAGAACTTTCTCAGGGATTTCAAAGTTGATGATGGTGATGATCTAGATTTACTACTGGGTCTTGAGGAGTTCAGCGACCCACAGGGCCAAGGCACTCGATTCGATTTGGGTGAGGAGTAAAACGATTCTGTCATGGAGCTGGAGCAGCAAATGGAGGAAGAATTTCCAATAGATGAGGAGAGTAATTTCACCATGGAGTTGGAGTGGGAAATTGAGGAAGCATTTGCCGTGGTAAATGAGTAAGCAATGGTCGTTTGGAGGGATGAAGTGTGCAACATCTGGAGTCAAAACAATCTCATATTCACCACAAATCACACTGGTTTTAAAAGTGCCCAAACTCACGTATGCTGATCAATCAGCAAAAATGGACGATAAAAGAACATCCTTGTAAGAAGCAGCTCCTAAAGAGAAAAAAGAAAAAAACATTGTTCTCACAGCATTGTTTTTACAATATGCTTTATTACTTTTGCATCACTTCCAAAAAATGAATAAACCATAGATTAATTTCAGTTTAAGCCAGACAAAAAGGTCGATCACTTGTCAAACGGCTTGGGAGCGCTGATTATGTAGACTCGAATCCAATCCCTTTGCACACAATGGTCCGGTTGTTCTTGTTCAGGAGAGCACAGTTCGTGTACTTGATCGTGCAGCAATTATCGCAGCAATCGACAATCACCACGCCGCCACACTTGACAAGAGTGTCCGTTAAGGAAAACAGGGGGCACCAGCTGCCTCGACCCTTGCAAGCCACGCTTACGTTCCTGTAGTGCAGCGAGCAGTCGCTGTGCAGCAGTTCTGGCACTGATCGTAGCTGACGAACGTCGGGCAATCGAGATAAATCCGGCGAAACACTCCTTTGGTGCAAGCAACACCTTGCGCAACTGCAAATCCACAAGTCTAAGCGCGAGAGAGAAAGAGAGAACCAAGCAAACTTCCAAATGCCTGTCCTGTGATAAAAAAGGAAGTTTTAAATTAGCAGATGCTGTAAATACAAAAGATAATTTGTACCTGAGATTAGAAGCAAGAGGCCGGGGTCTTCATACTGTGTCAATGCGAGCAGCACTTTCTTCCGCTGGAAGGGCCTTTCCAGCTTGGATTCCTTGAGCAAATTTGCCTTCCCATCTGTCATCGCAAATTTCAGATAATTTAAGAGGTTGGTGTTACCAAATTCGTAGACAGTTCCTGCTCAACTGAAACACCAAGGCAGCAACGCATAATGCGGTTTAGTTTAAAAGAGAAATAAAATGCGAAATGTTAGCTAAAGTCCTCTTCGTCGTCACTCCCCTGAAGCGCCTGCACAACAATAATCATCAAACAACGATCAAGGAAAATGCAGCATACCTGGCGAATTGCACTAGCTTTCTCCAGGATCGTAGCGACGTTGACGCTGGACGTTGCTGGGCAAGGAGTCTCAGTTTTCTCCTTCTCCTGCTGGGCAGCGTGCTTTAGATTGAAAGACTGGAACAAAACATGCTCTTTGTCACAATTCTTTCACCCATGATATGAATTCTTACCCTCGAGCGTATTTGCTCCAGTAAGACCTCACGACTGCCAAACGATTTCGCCCGAGGATCACTGGTCACCTTTCTCAGCTGAAAAATAAGTTTGCAATTTTCAGAAGTTCAAAAGTAAAAACACTTACCGTATCCTTGTCATGAGAAACAATGGAATCCATTAGTATGTCATGGTGCTGGTGGCCAACGGGAGCTCCTTGGTCCTTCAAATTTTCTGGCGCTGGTGATGACGAAACATCCCCGGGAACAAGCGTCTTCGCAACCCTCCATTTGCTCGGAGGCAGCGGAGGAGGAGGTGGTGCCTCATCGGGAAAACTTGCTGCTTCCGAAGGTGAGCTCGGCCTGAAGGGCACGGTCCAAACCTCCCGTTCCTTCGTTGCGTTTCTTCCAATCCCCACTACAGGAGAGTCCAGCACACTGAATATTTGCTGCGACGAGTACGACTCTTCAGATAGATCCGACAGGGATGGCGACGCGGATGGCGATGAAATCTCGGAAGGTGACGTGCTGGAGTAGAAAGAAAGCTCGGTCGCTCCTTGAACATTGAAGGGACTACGCTGCGGCAGATCCTCTTGGATAAAGTCTTTTGGTGGCGTCGCTCTGGCCTCCTGTTTAACTGGAAAAGCAGCTTCCTGATTTGACCCACTGGATGTTCGGCTGGACGTACTGCACCTGGCCTTTTCATTTTCTATTTCTGCATCCGGCTCTATGCTCGTGAGAGCATCAACGAAGTGCTCTGCACCGTCGACAAAATCACTGTCGGTCGCTGACGTCGTATGCCTCGTCCTCTTCTGGAGCAGAGAGTTTTCTTCTATTTCCTTGGCGCTGATGCGAAGCGTTTCCACTTTCAACGCACGTAGTTCCGTGTCGGTATCATCAGCAAGATACGGGTCCAAGAATGCATCCACACTGTGGATGAACTTTGAGGCTTCTATGAAACTAATGCAAGCCAAAACAGTTGATACTTTTTCGATAAACAAAACGTACCTGAGCTTAGCTTCCGGGGTGATACTTTGTCGGGTATCATGAACACCACTAGTTTCACGTTTCTGCAAAATTCTGTCAATTACGCTACAGCAACCCATTAGACGCGACTTACTTTCCCTCTTTCTCTGACGCGCCGCCCAGTCTGGAGCCTCTCCGCCTTTAAAAGCTCCGAATTCGCCCATTTAATTCGGAAGAAGGAAGGGTCCGTATATCTCCTCAGCGTAGCTCCCGCTCCGGCAACGTCAAAACTACAGACAAAAATCAACTAATACAAACTGCAAAAGAATCCAGATTGCCTACTTGTCCAAGAGAAAGAAGCGCGGGGGTTCTCTACAGTCATCATACGACTGCTGGAGGAAGCGGGGAAGCTCCGGCTGAGAGAAGTGATTCTGCTTCACGAAAATGGTCGGATGCCACTGAAAACCTGCTTGAGAACCCAAAAAAACAAAAAAAAAGAATTTATCACAAAGCAAAAGCAAAGGAAAGCAAAAGGAATACCTTCTGTAAAGGCATAGCTCAGCTGATCAGACTCGCAATAGACGGTCTCTTCCAATGTAGGTAGCTCGGCTTCGAGCCTTTCCACTCGCCGAGCGATTTGTTTCCCTCTCGAGGATAACGCCACGACCTCTTGATGCAAGTCGTTGAAAATCTCCGCGGCGAGCCTGACACACACGCATAGACAAGAGTAAAGACAAGAGAATGAGACCAAAAGAGAAGAAAAAAACATACAACACTCACTCTGCCACTTCTCCAAGCTGTCGCACGATCCCAGCCAGTGCCGCCATTGTGATGCTCTCGAACAGCGCCTCAGCATCGTTCTTGGGGACGGCCTTGTACAGCTCGGGATTCGCAAAACGGTACTCGCTCTGGAGCTCGTACCTTGCCAAAGGCATCCCAGGAGCGATATTTCGGCGACGATCGACCAAATCACCCGCAGCGCTCACGAGCCGATCGCCAGAAATCCAATGCAGGCCGAGATCAGGCGGGCGGCGCACAAGTAGGAGGAAGAAGAAAGAAAATTTCTCGAGGATCGAGGAGTGAGAACCTGCATTAATCCCGCGCGCTCACACCGCGGCGCCTACATGCATTCCAGCCGCGGCATGACAAAGAGGAACCCTAGCCGCGCGCGAGGAACGCTCCCTTCCCTCTATCGAAAAGATAGCCGGCTGCTCACAATACACTCGCCATAGCTGAGAGTCCCGGGATGCACGGCCCATCGTCCGCCACGTCACACGCCGATGGACGTGGCGCCATCGCGGGCGTCCAAGATCCTCGCTGACCGGTTTCTCACACCAATGGCGGGGCGCTCTAAAATCCACATTACATGGCAATAGTACGGCGGGAAGTGACAGACGCAATGATCCACGCCAGAGAAGCTTTTCTCTCTCCTACAAAATACACTTGTACGGCGGGTCAACCTTTTCACTTCCCGCCACAGCCATGGCCCAAATGTTTTCTGTACGGTATGTCAAAACTAATTTGTCCTGATGTTATGGTCATACGCATTGTCTTTAGACCTTGACCTGAATGGAAAGAATCAATTTCGAAGTAAGCTTACTACTGAGAGCCTAACTTGTGTAGGAAACTTAGAGCATCACCTTGAACAATCTAACTTGTTCTTTCTCACAGCTTGTTTTAGAACTTAAGATCGAATGGACATTATCTCTAACTTCGCTACAGCCCCCTAGAGTTCGTCTCGAGCTATAATCAGATCATTAGAACCTTCAAAACCAAGAGTAAACCATGAAGCAAGTGCAACTTGCTCATAACAGATTAGAGCTTTAGCACTAAGAATTTAGAGATTACCTCTAACCATCTCGCTATAATCCAATCCCTCTCCCCCAAGATGTTGATTTCTTCTAGAGTTCTCTCCAGCTATAATCATAGCATTGGAACCTTCAAAACCAAGAGTAGAACATACTGGGATCAAGTTCCCAAAAACACATGTCAACTCACAACAATCAACCATGCAAGTAATAAGAATGTCTGTAACTTCAGTCAGGCTACCTGAATACACTCGATTAAGAAACAACTGTGAACAAAGATTCGACAGCTTGTAACACAGATTAGAGCCGTAGAAGCTCATAGTTTTTCCCATAAGCAGCAGCAGGCAAAACCGATTTAGAACAGTTTGGAATCCAGAGACATCTTACCTTCTTGAGCCCATGATCAATCACGTCGCCAGCCAAATCACTATGTACACCTGAAAAGCTTCATCTGCATTCATGAACAAAGCATATAACAAAGTTCCAAGAGAAGAAAGGTTGCATCATATTGCATTAGCAGCCCAGGTTGGAGCAGCTCTTACAAAACTCAATCATTCCAAAACAGAAACAGGAGACAAGGAGATCACAAAACAAGAGAGTGGTAATGCCATGGAAGGTGAGAGAGATGGAGTCAGCCATCGCTAGCAGTGAGTGAGTGACTGAGTGAGTGGGTAAATGCAAGTAAGAAGTGAACTTAGTAAGCAAGCAAGCATGAGTGGCATGATCAGCAGGAGTTGTAATAGTAGCAGTAGCAATGGAGTTGGGTAAGGATGACTCAGCCAGCACGAGGATATGGACGGATGGAGCTTCCAGCGATTGAAAGGATATGGTGGATGGATCAAACTCGATCAGTCGTAATGCCCGGCGGGGTGGAGCTGCTTGAGCAGGCCAACATAGGTGAGGTAGAGCACCCGATCCTTTGCTCCGGTGCGGTGGCGGCGCGTGTGCTTGCAGAAGTACTTGAGCTGGTCCAGCGTGCACAGGCCGAGCGTCTGCGTGAGGAGCAAGAACAGCCAGTTGATGTGCCGCTTCTTGGCGTGGATGACGGGCTTGACGCAGTCGGTCTGGAGGCAAAGCGAGCAGTCGAGGAGGCGCGGCGACGTCCAGCACTTGGGAGCGCGATCGTGCATGGTGTCGCGGTGGGTCACGAAGTAGTTGCTCACCGCCGCGAAGCCCGCCGCCACCCCGACCTCGACGCTGCCCGGGCCGTCGCACCGCTTGCACATCACGTCCCCGGCCACCTTGTCGATCCCCGCCGCCTGCAGGGTGTCAAGGGAGAGCACCACCGCGCGCCGCTCGCTCGCCCACGCGTACGCCGGCACGATGATATCTCCCTTCCCGCTACTGCCACCGCCGTGGTGGTGACTGGATCGCTGCGGCGGGGGGAGCTCCTTGCTCGCCGCCACCGCCGCCGAGGCGGCTTGATCGCTGGAGGAGGACGACGCCGATCCCGAGCGGAGCTGGCGGCGGGCCTTCTTCGATTCCTCGCTGGGCGCCTCCGGGCGCTCGTGGTGGAGATGAGCGGCGGGCGCGCGCGACGCCGCCGGTGCCGCCGCCACGCCGCCGCCTCCACCCGGTGGCGACAGCGTCAGTCGCAGCTGGGCCTCTTCCTCGTCGATACCTGGCAGCATTGCACTTGTAAGGATTCTTTTTTTCTTTTACTTGCAAAGCCTCGCTATAAACTCAAGCACTACAGAATCTTCTTCTTCCTCCTGGCCTTCCTCGCACAGCTCTGGCTATGGAGCCATGGAGGAGCCACAGGCAAAAAAAAAAAAAATCGCAGCCAGGGAAAGACAACACAGAAAAAAGGAGGGAGGCGGTCGGTAGGTGAAAGAGCTTCCCCGATTTATGCCTTAATTTCCTCAAGTAACTGGGACAGTATATTCTACCGCCCTGTGGTGGTATATTCGGTGAAGACAACCCCTTTTTTTTCTTCTAACCATTTTTCTCTGTGCTGTGGACCTTGTATTTTTTAAGGATTTTTTTTCGTTTTCTTGTAACAAATCGGCAACAACAACCCAACAACAAGCAAACGGGCCCTCCTCCCCATATTAAATACTTTTCTCTGTGGTTTTATATGTGTTTTTATGTTTTTTTTTGGGATGATTTGGTGTCGTCTTATGCGAATGGATTGCCTGACGAGGACGATGATGGTGCTGTTGTTGTTGGATGGTGCTGCTGGAACACTGGAGGAATTTGCCTGTTAGAGGTTTACACGAACACCACATCACTTTTGAGTGCCAGCTCCTGTAAAGAGAGAGCATCCTAAAAAAAATATGAAGAGTAACGCTTACATGGTAACTTGAGTGGGCTCCCAATGATAATCTGTGATGTCAACCGGTTTAATCAAGGTTAACTTCTGTTTTTTTTTGTCTCTGCAGGTTCTTACTTGGATGGTAAAAATTTGGAGGCACTTGTACATGTGTAGTTCCTAGAGGGGCATACTGAAAAAACATTTCAAGTGTAGAGTTTTTCCAAATAATTGTTCCCCTTTTACCTGACTTTGGGAGTGGTCAAAAGGATTGACACTGGTTGACACTCCAAAGTAGCCCAGACTTTGATTCTGGAGAGAAGAAACAAAAGGGAGGTCATGCAAGAAAGTCTGCGTATAAAAAAACTACCGATGGAGGTCCGAAAGTGTTCACGTGATGACCAGCTCCCTGTAACAATAAAAGAGATCGTATGTGAGAGAAATGCGTAGTCTCTTAGATCACTCACTTGTACTCCAACGTTCATGGCTGCTGGATCAAACTGCTGGAAAGTCATCAAAGCAGAATTCGATAGAAAGCCACCCGAAGAAGAAATCGATGGCGACGGCGCCGCTGGTAGAAAGCCAACTGAAGGCGGCATGGTAAAATTCGGTGAAATTCCTGGAAAGCTCGACGGGAACTGCGGGGGAGCACCCGGTAAAACTCCCTGTGAAACTTCTGATGGAATGGACTGTGGAAGATTGGCTGGTCCAGGAGCGCTAAAACTCGTGAAATTCGTGCCTGTTTGAGCTTGAACTGGTCCACTACGTGCAAAAGGATCAGCAGCCAGATCAAGACCCGCGAAACTCGTTGTCACGAAAGGATCCACCTGCATCGGCTGCGAGGAATCTCCCTCCGGAGAAGAGATGAGATCGATCAGGTCGCGGCTGCCATCGGTGTCGTGTCGAAACTTTGCACTGGCGACACTCTCGTGGTTGCTTGCGTCGCCGGAGATGAGATCGACCAGACACGGTGTGGAGCTTGACTTGGTTGTCACTGGCGAGCTTCTAGAGTGTGGTACCTTTTGCTGCTGGTCGGTATTAAGATCGATCAGACTTCTCGACTTTGTCGCAGATCGTGGTGGCGTCTTTGGATTGTCTGGCTGGTGGGAAGTTTTCTCGTCAGTCATGAGATCTTTGAGAGAGAGCGAGTTTGAGCGCTGGACTTGTGGAGGTCGAGCTACGGGACTGGTTTGGTCCGGCGCTATGCTCCCGCTAGAGTAGTTTCTTTGCAGCTGCTGGTTCTTTCGTTTCTCCACCTGGAACGAAAAAGAACAGAGGATCAAACGGCAAAACCAAGAAGAAACTAGCGAATGTTTCTTACTGGAGGTTGTAGAAACTGGCGAATGACCGTTTCCCTCTTACTACCACTGGCTGTTTTCTGGTTTGGAGGCGACTGGGGCGAAGATTTCACGTCGTCTTCACCGTTGTCTTCCACAGTCGTACCCCCGTTTTCTCTTCTTCCGGGGATTGTTCTCACAAAGTCTCGGTTACCGTACGCGAGTCCGCCGTAGCTCGTACGAGGAGAGGGGCGAGCCTCGCGATATTCAGGAGTTTCACGCATTGGACTACGACTACGCTGCTGGAAAAGAAAAAAAAAAAAAAAACAGAGAAAGAGAATGGAAGGGAAGAAGAACTTTCGGTCATGTTTAACACTGGTTGTATAGTTATACCTTTTCTCCAGTGAAACGCCTCTGGACGTACACAAGCTTTATAAACTCGCGGATTTTATCGGGATTGCTGATGAGAAACGAAAAAAAATCATTTTGCTCTCCTAAAAACACGTCAAGGATCTAAGTACCTGCTGTCTGGGAATATGTTCCTGTCCGAGTTCCATGCCTTGAGGAAAACCTGTCGAGCTTGCTACACGAACAAGTGAAAAACGCTGTGAATCTAATTTGCTGCTACTGTAAATTTAGATACATACATCGTTTCCACCGGACTGGAGCTCGCTGATTTCCCCGGCAGTAAACTTGGCCATGGAAATAGACTTGATGCGATGCAAGAATTCTCGACTGTAAGTACGAGTGAGAAACTGGAAACGAGAAAAGATCGAAGAGAGGGAACGAATAAACATACTGAATCCCGCTGCAAAGTGTGCAAATGAAAGTGGAGAAGCTAGTGCACACATATTGCGGTCCCTGCTTAAGAGAAAAAAAGATAAATTCTCAAGAAAGAGGGGATAAGACCCAAGAATCGTTGTCATACCAGGCTACCACAGTTGACGCATCTTCGATTTCCAGGCAATTTAAGCAGCCCACGGATGATCTTCTCGTGTCTCTCGTCCTCTTTGCTGGGAGCCATCACACATCCTGCTGGATCTCTAGCTAGAGAATCTAGGCTGGAATTGGATTGCCAATCCTGGACAGCATAATCTCTACCCACCTGGACGCAATGCGGGCTAAGGCTTGCTGGGAGCGCCCGACTCAGATCTGGACTGTAACAAAGAGAAAATGAGTATCCAACAGAATATACACGTGTTTAATAAAATTTTAGATTTAGATTTTTTCTAAACCAAACCCTTAAACACAGGAGTAGAGGAACAAAGGGGTAAAGCCAAACTCTGATGTATGTAACCCTTTCTTCCTCCTCTCACCTAAGGACTTTCTGCTTGTTATTGCTTGTTATTGGCCGCTCCCAGCTCTCCTCTTGCAGCAATTGTTGCCCATCAAGCCACCTTGCGTCGCTGATGCTCTGTGCAGCAACCCCGTTGATTTTTGGGAGACACAGCCCCATTGATTCGTTGGTCTCCCAGCTCTCCAACTGCTCTAGAACTGGTCACCGGCTCCTCCTTGTGCTAGGGCCTTTAGTGACAACTGCTGTACATGATCTGCCTAACTCGCCTACAAAGGTGGCAAGATTCTCCATGTGCCAAATGTATCTTTGCCACTCCGACTTGCAACTCCTCCACACAGGAGCATTGTGTCTTTACAGCCAATTGTGAGACTCCCAAAGATTCCCTCCCTACAACTCCACAAAGAATGGCTGAGTTTTGAGCTCCTCACTGAGCACTCTAGGCAACAAGGGAACACCATTGGATTGCAGCCATTTTAAAGAGATTCTATGAAAAAGCTCTCTAAAGAAGAATAAATTAAGACTAAAAGGTGAAGCCCAATCTAAGTCTAATGATAAATGATAAATGATAAAATGATGATTTATTATAATGATAAATGTGAGTTGGGGATTTCAGAGTTGTTTTCAATAGTAGGTTCTTTTCAAGATTAGTGCCAACAGGAGATTTGATGAAAAACAGTGGCAATCAAATGAGGATATTCACATGGAGGTGAAGAATATATGTTCAATATATGTTTATGGCTAGGTGCTACTTCTTACTGCCCACAAATTAGAAGCTAAAATGGTCTAACTTCTTACATAGCCATTAATCACATAGACACATCTTGAACCGTTTGCTCGAATATTATAGGGATATGGTGCTCCATCTTTTGGAATAGGGACTTCTTTAGATTCGCAATAAAGTAATCCTTCAACTATCAATCCTAGAGCATAGATGGTCCTAATTGAACTCTTATCTGACTTATAACCTACATAAACTTGAACAGACTTTTGCTAAACTTTTGCTCCAGCCAATCCAAACTAAGCTCATAGCCTCTAGGATGATACAATAACTAATCCTTATTCATGTTCCATCAATATGAGTAGACATAACAAATCCTACCTAGAGAATTGTACCATAAATGAACCACCTATTCACCTCCTTGGCTGTGAACAAGGGATACAAGAGGAAATGCATGCCATGATTCTTAGTATATCTTAATTCTCATCTATAAAACCATTTCCTTTGAACACCAGTAGCTTAAACTTTCCTCAGATAGTAGTATCTTGAGGAATTTGAGCACCTTGGCAATTACAAAAGTCTTAGAGGAGCAATTGACAAGCTTGTATGGTTAGCATGAATATAGAGTTATAAGCAAATGGAACAAATATATCCTCCTTGTGGTGTATACTTGAATATTTTCTTATCTTTATGTTGATCCGACTATAAAAAAAGTTTTGTAAGTGATTAAATTTTCCATTTTATTTAGTAATTTAATCACACTTTTAACCATTTTGAGGAGTCTCACATACAACCTTCATAAATTTTATTTTTGACTTCAAACATGTTAACCCTGTGAATAACATTTATTCCCAACTTAGGGACATATTAGCCTTGTGGATAACATCTATGCCATTTAGCCTTTGCACTGGGGTGAAGATTTTATATTGTCTTCATTATTGTCTTCCATAGTCAAACTTCTGTTTTCTCTTCTTCCAGGGATTGTTCTCACAAAGTCTTAGTTACCAGACACAAGTCTACCATAGCTCATATAAGGAGATTCTATAATAGACACCTAAAAAATACTACTGATATATTAGCTTGTTACACTAAAATTATATTTATTTACCTTTGTCTTATTGGTAATCCAATAAATGCCCTAGTTCTGTCTCTCAAAAACTAGGCCATTCATTTATAAGTGGTCATCCCAAGACTACACTTTAACATTCTTAAGATGCTCAAAAACATATAAAACACTTTTCCCCAATATCCAACATTTTTCCCCAACATTGTTATTAAGTTAAAGTTTGAATGTTTGACCACTAAGTTCCATTGACATTTAAGACTTCTTTTATCACATGACCATGCCTTTCATTATTATGTAAGAGGATTGTTTCTTTTTCTTTCCATAATCTAGGATTTTATGATGACATTTTGAAACACAATGGCCTTATGTAAACCTTATAAATACTCTCCCCACCTTCTGTCAAAATAACTGATTTATACAATTGCTTCTTTTCCAATTAGCAAATGAAGTTATTCTATATAATTGCAGTTGACAAATAAAACAAAAGTGTAAATGAGCATATTTGATTAGCCCAATATATATGGTTCAGATTGAAATCAATTCAATGGTTATTAAAATCCCACTATGTTAATATTAATATTGCATCGTAGCTGTACACTTAGACTTCACAGTCTCATAACTTAATAATAATTTGAAATAGATTTTTTAGTGATAAAGATAATATAAGCTATTAGCCTCATTTAAATATAAAACACAAATAAAAAAGGTCAAAATTACATGAAATACATGAATTTAAGTTTTTTCATATAAATCATTTAACTATATTAAAGTGCCATATAAAATAACTATCATCAATAGACCATATGCAAGCTCACTATTATATGTTTAATAGTTAATATAAATATATATTTTTAAATTATTATTTTCACATCACTACATATTACTTTTGAATGTGGGAAATATTATTGCCATTTTTGTAAATTATATTTAATAAAATCACAATCAACACTCAATATTAAATCTTACAATCTTTTAGAGGTGCAGACCCATGAAAATTTTCAGCAACAATTGAAAATGAAAAACTTAGAAATATTAATAACCTAGACCTTTGAGCAAACAAGATTCTTGGGATTATACTCAAGGATCTAGGGTTTCCTGTGGTTCTTCCGAGGTATGCTCTCTTTCATCTGTCTGTGCACCAGACTAATCAGACCTTCCAGGGGACATGACATCTCCGGAGCCATTCCACGCGACCCTGAGACACGCGAGGAGCAAATGGGTGGAAATGGGTCGGCCCCAAAAATCGAGCCGGGGCAAGGCTCACTCCCGAGAATGGCAGGCAAGTGTTCTCAGAAAGAGAGAACAAACAGAAAAATGGAGAGAAAAAGAAAACCAAAGGCTGAAAACTTTGTAGGAATTCGAGAGCTTCGTCAACTCGGCGTTTGATGCCCGTGATACATTCACGGTGCACAGGCTGCTCGCCTCGGACGATCACGTCTTCGACAAATGGATGGAGGCTCTGGAGCTCAACGCGCAAGGAAAGCTCCCGCTGGGCGATGGCAGGCTCCCCACCGGAGGAGGCCTGCCGAGCAACTCCATCTCCATGGCCAGCCTCGTGAGCATCCGCGCGCTGGAGAACGAAGAGCTCCTCTACGTCGCCGAGCAGCTCGCGAGCAAGGCCTGCCTCTTCCGGAAGTTCCCGAGCTGCGAGATGGACGTGCCTTCTCTGGATCAGCTCGGGAAGAAGCTCAAGAACAGGAGGTTGATCGCCGAGAGGCTGCTCCAGGAGTGCATCGCCAGCAACATCTTGCCAAGCTACGTTACCAGCGTTTCCGGGCTCAAGAAGAGGCTCCGGATCAGCGACGAGGAGCTGGACGAGTGGGCGACAGTGGAACCCGAGGCTTGCTCCAAGCTCGCCAAGAAGAAGAAGACGCTCAAGCTTGTGCCGCTTCCACTTGGTTGGTACTCTCGTCTCCAGGAGAAGCTCGGCGGCGATGAGATCTCGCCATACCTGGTGCGCGAGTGCAGCAAGACGAGCGTCGAATGGATCGTCAGGCTCTTGGCCGAGAAGCGGAGCGTCAAGCTTATAATCGCGGATCTTCGCCGGTGCCAGGACGGTGATCTTCAGAGCTTGTGTGACAAGTTGCTGCTAGCGCTCGAGTCGGGGGGCTGCTCCTGCCGCGTGATCTTACTCGTCGCCATCGCCCAGCTCCCCGGGATCATGCATGGAGTGGAGAAGATCGCTCGGATCATCAGAGGTGGCGTCAAGGTTGGCAGCGTGATTGATTTCCCGGAGCAAACGCACCACCACACCATGATCGTGAGCTTCGGCACGGGATCACTGGAGAGGGGTGGAGGAATGAGCCTGTTCTTGCGAGAGGGAGATCACCGCCTTCCAAAAGAGTGGGAAGATCACAAGTTTGCCATGGAGAGGGAGGAGGGATCCATCAGCCTTGGGCTGGCGAGCCATGTTGTGAGACAGTTCGAGGAGGATGGCGGCGCTTACATCGTCGAGTATGGCTGCGGCGGGCAGATCTTCAAGGCTTGCATGATCCACGACCAGAGGGGGATTGTCCTGGTCGAAACTTCGCAAGAGCTGGACAAGATGAAGAGATTGGTCCAAGAGCTGCGAGCTACGAAGAAAAGCTAGCCTTCGAAAGAGGAATTTTTTTTCTACTGAGATGGTGGAAAGCTAGTGATAAAAACATGTAAGATTCTGGATAGTCAAAATGGAAATCAATCATTGTTCTAATGTTTTTTTTCAGGTAAAGAAATTAAAATTGAATATTAACAATTTTGTCCAGTATTAGTAACAATATTAACAATTTTGTAAGATGCTCCTTGTTGATTAGCCCTGTGATCTCAACTGCTATACGTTTCAACTAGGAATTGTGATCTACATCAGAAATGAAGTTTAACCGTTACAGCCTCTAAAGCCTTTAACACAAGAAAAGGCCAAAAAACACTTATATGTGATCCCAACTCAATGCAAAGTTGTAGTGCAAGTTTAGTAAAAAAAGCTGATTTTTTCTTGAAAGAGTGTTCTATTGACAAATCTATCTATCCATATGCTCGCTATGTCCACTGTAAACCACCGCCTAGTTGGTGTTTAATAATCATAAATAGGAATAAGAAAAGCAATGGTTGTGTACGATTTTTAAACACCCATTAAAAAGAATAATAATAAAATCTGGAACCAGAGCTTTTTTACATGTGCTGGAAAAAAGGTATAGAATATTCTCCTAGAGAAAATGGCGTCGTTGTCGGGGATTAATGGCGCAGATGTACGTGCATACGTGGCAAGAGCGAGGAAGGTGTTGAGGAAGCTACCTCCGCGGATCCTCGCAACATCCTATTTTTTTAAACACAAGAAACAAGTTTTCTAATGGTTTGCCCTAATAGCGATTCCGGCACGAGATTTGACCTTCCCCCTTTGGCATCCCAAAAGTCAACAATTCACTTAACTTTTCTTTTCCCAGGACCACCAAGATGGAACTTTGATAAAACTGTGCGTTGTTACCATAGCCATAGCTTGCCTAGTCTAAGAAAAGAGAGATTTCTTGCTCTCCATATACATTCTTCTGGATGGATCATGGACGCCACATTTCCGCAAAATCCGGATTATAAGGATTTTAACGCGTACGCGGTGTTCGTATGCCAGACCCGTACAACCGCTGCCTCACCTGGACTGACTGACCTTGACCCTATAACCTTGGAATGAGATATACTGTTCGTTATATTCCACGCGGCAGTGCCCAGACCCCGTCTGCCCGTTGACGCCGTCAAGCACGATTCCTCGCACGGACGGAATATACCCCTTCTCTTTCGCGGTATATAAATGAGAGAGGCTTTTCCCCAAATCATTTCCATTCAATCGCTTCGGAGGAAAGTGTGACCCCGCGGGGTGTGGTGTACCGCTCCAATTCCATCCGAAAATCCGGCCGGATCTTCCAGCGCCGCCAGGAAAGTTCTCGCAGGTTTGGGTGGATCTCTGGCGAGTTTTTTCCTCGATTCGATCGCTACAACACCGCGCCGCAGCAGCACAGCGCAGTGATGGATCAAGGAGGCAGCGGCGGTGGCGCCACTGGCGCCAGCGCGAGGAGGAGCAGGCCCTCGGCGCTCAAGATGAGCAAGGATTCCAGGGCGATCCGCAAGCCGCCGGTGCCGCTGCCCGTGGTGCAGTACCGGCAGCCCGTGATCATCCACACGTACTCCCCCAAAGTGATCGAGACCGACGCCACCAATTTCATGTGGCTCGTCCAGCGCCTCACCGGATCATCCGACACCCGGAGGCGATGCAAGACCTCCAAGCCGGCAGTGCTGCCCACCTTCATGCCCAGCAGCCCATCCCACTCGCCCAGATCCTTGCCCACCACTGCCAGGAATTCCTCTCCTTGGAAGCGGGAGATCGTGGAGGAGGAGCCAGTGATCAATCAGCGCCACCGGCACCACCAATTATCCGGCTCGCCCAGCAGCGAAGAAGCCGAAGATCCAGAGCTCCTCCGCTCCTCCTCCGCCGGGGACGACGATTCCTCCTCCATTTCCGACCTGCAGCAGCAATTCAAGGTGGAGCACCTCCTCCTCTCGCCGGCATCCAGCTCCGACTCGGGCAATCCCTTCCACCGCCTGGCGAATCCACTGCTCGCGTCGCCGAAAAGCCCCCTGGTCAGCTTCGATGCCGCGGGGCTCGCGTTTGGAGATCAGCACCGCCACTTCCTCCCCAATCCCTTCTCCACCTCCTCCTCGCTCGCTTCCAATGGCGAGCCATCGGTCTACGTTCCACAGATGACGATCCAGCAGCAGCAGCCATGGTCCCCCATTTTCACTCCCAGTGGAATCTCCCACGCGGACTTCCTCCCCGAGTTCGATCTCTGGACGACGATGAGCTCCTCTTCTTCCGAGTTTCACGGCCTCTCTCCTCGCAGCAAGCTGTTTGGGCCGATGCAGTCGCCCGCTACCATGGCTTTCCGGGACATGGCCTTCGCCTTCGTCAAGGACTAGAAAGGAAGACGAAAGGTTCGCTGTTGGTTTTTGGATAGCTCAATCGCTGTTCCTTCTCCGAGAGGACGATGAGGCTGGCGTACTTGTACATAAGAAATCTTCCACTTTCGCCAGGTTGGAATCGATAATTTCTCAGTCTCGTCCTGCTGATAGAGTTCATCCTCGACCGGGGTTTTTGTGTCGATCAAGCTTTGTTTCGCTCTTTCAGTCCTCGATAAAGATAGTTTTTTGTGTTCTTGGGCATTTTTTCTCTGATATGGCAACAGCGAGGCTGGATGGTTCGCCGGTTCCTTTCAGAGTTTTATCGGGCAAGGAAGATTTTGCGCTTCCGTGCGCCTCTCGTCTCGTCCCTCTCTCTCTCTCTCTCGCACAATCGTATAGCAAGAACAGACCCGGAACAGATCACCATAAAGATTGTTGGTTGCACTGCACGCTTCATCCAAATGCGTTAAAAAACATCGCATTTAAGACGCTGACGAGATGATGTTTGCTGCGCTGCTGTCGAGAGACGTAACCAAGATCGCTTGCAGAACCTCTGGGGCCGAGAATCTCCGATGGAGAAAGAAGTGGAGATCAGAACCACTTTCGCCCCGCCAGGAGCTCGAGTTTTCACGCACGACATGCAGGCGTTTCAATCATCCAGAGGAGATCTAAGCGGCGAATCTGGCGTTTGCTCCTCCCGGCGACTGACTTGGATCGTCGGCGGCCGCCAAGAAACGAAGCGACGAAGACGGCAGTAGCCCTTCTCCCCCTTGTGTATGTTCATGCGCTAGCGATGACTTTATAAACTTGTTGTGTGTCCGGCTCATTCTTTCAAAGCTCTGCGGCACGCGACGTCCATATCAGAGCCAAAACGTTTCCCGTCGCTGGATCACAAGCTCCTGTGCAAGCACGAGTCAACCAACGTGCATGCCCGACCTCTGGGAATTGTTTTTGCATTCTTCCGCTGGGTTGTGCGCTTTGCGTTCCAGATCCCTGTGTGCCAACTGAGCAGAAAGTCGTCGGTGTTTGGCGGAGAGATTCGCACCCCCATTCCTTGCAATCTCGCCCAAAAGCCAATTTTTCAAAGCTTTCCCGTTCTATCCACTTGCCACCTACTTTGGAAGGCTTTCGAAAGCTTTATATGAGAAGGAAGAGCTGAAGCACCTTTGCTTGCATGTAAGTACCACCTCATACTTTCTTTGGCCGAGAAATTCCAACTTGTCGGCTCTAAAGATAAGCGTAGATCACTGTTCCTGTTCCTTTTGCTACTGCGCTTTGTGATACTTGAATCGCAAATGGACAACGGAGATGGCCTGTTACCTGGAAGGCACACACACAGAATTAGCGATGCAACTGGAAGAAAACAAACACTTCAGGACAGCGCAAGACTTGAGGAGAGAAAAAAAAAAGACTATACCGGGTAGCATTCTGATGAGTCGATCGATGGGACCCCTTTGGCGATGCAAGTTGTTGGAGAATACGTAAGCAGTTCCTGTGTAGTGTAACAATAAACAAACGCTTTTGACAAGGAAGGCCCAACAGCAGAAAGAAGAAACAAAGCACTTAGATGGCTATATCTTAGTGTTCCTGTGAAGCCAAGGTATGTAAGCAATGACGCAAACGGGCCTGAATACCTTGTTCCTCAGGAGAAAGACTCACACATAACATTCGCTTCGCCTCTCTCTCTCGAGCGTCTTCAGACCTGGTCCTCGTTTCCTTTTCTACTTCTCTGTTTCCATCGTCCTTCAGAGATCTTTTGCCGCCTTTTCCCGAGCCTCTCTTCTCCTTCTGGCAACTTCCATGAAGAATTCTGGCGGCGGTAGAGGCTTGGAATTCTGTGGAGGGTAGACGACGTAGCTTCGCTGCAAAAATCGAGAGCCAAATCGAATCTCGTTAGTAGACCGAGCTGGAAGATAGGTGGAGAAAAAGAAGGAAAAAACAAAGAAAAGAAACAGCTTAAGAGCGAGCTAGCGAGAAAAAGAAAGAACAATCGCGCAAAGACACATTCTCATAGGAAACGCTGGCAAAGAAAACTTTGATTGCTGGACGCAGAAAGAGAAGGAAAATCGCAAAGACAGTCGTCATTTCTTTTAGTTTAAACACACAAACAATCAAGACAAAGTTCTATTTTCTTCTTCTTTCCTTGTGAAAAGAGACTATCTATTTAGAAATTAGAAACACGGCCAGAAAGAAAAAAGAATGGAAGAACAATCGGGCAAGCCGAAAGACAAAGAAAGCATTAAGAAGGACGATGGAAGAATCGCAAAAGTGTGAGGATGTACCACACAAAGTTCCAGAAGGAATCATACCAAGTGTGTATCTAGCAAGAAAGCTGCGAGAAAGTATCACGCTTCTTCACGAGAATAAAAAAAAAGAAAAAACGATTGGGAGGAAGTACCACACAAAGTTCCAGAAGGAAACATGCCAAGTGTCTATCTAACAACAAGGCAAAACGAGTCAGAGAGAAAAGAGAAACATTGAAAGCTGCGAGAAAGTATCGCGCCGCTTAACGAGAAGATGGGAAGGAACAAAGAAGAGAGAAGCTGGACAGAAGCTGGACGGAGAAACCATTAAGAAGGTGGAAGAATCGCAAAAGCAGCAGACAAAGTTCCAGAAGGAAACATATCTAGCATGAGAAAGCTGCGAGAAAGTATCGCACTGCTCAATGGAAACGAAAAAGAAACGAGAAGCTGGACAAAACCACAAAACCCTGAGAAGCAATGAAGATGGAATGCAATGCATCGATTCACTCACATTGCGGATGGCCCAGTTGAGCGCGTCGGAGCCAGCCGAGAAGCCGAAGATGAGAACCACCGGGATCGTCACGTAGACGCTGAATTTGAACATCTCGAGCCAGAACTTTGGCCGGCTGCGCGAGCCGCGCACATCGGGCAGAGAAATCGGGAACTTACGCTTGTGCTGCTGCTCCGCCGCCGCGGCCGGGACCTTCTCCTGCTGCGTCGACGCCATTCCTCGCCAGATTAGGGCAAAACAAGCAAGAGCTTTGAGAGTATTCGAACCGGTACACAGCAACACTTTAGGGTTTTTTCGCGCGTAAGCAAGAACTTTGAGAGGATTCGAACCGTTACCCGACAGCACTTAGGGCTTTTCCAGGGCGCGCGCGACGCGAGCTTCGTTTTCGTCCCTTCCGCCCTGGCGCGCGGCGGGGATCGATCGCTCGGTCCATCAGGTAGGCCTTTGGCGCTCCCGATCCATCTAGCTCTGCGCATTCCCGCCGATCTCCAGAGCTCGAGAGAATGGCCGCGGCGGCGGATTCCTCCCCTCCCTACGTGCCCTACGCGCTCAAGATGACGCTCACGGGCCACCAGAAGGCGGTGTCCAGCGTCAAGTTCTCCCCCGACGGCAAGCTCCTGGGCAGCTCCTCGGCGGACAAGACGATCAAGCTGTGGTCCGCCGACGATGGCAAGCTGCTCAAGACGCTCCAGGGCCACAGCGAGGGCATCTCCGACCTGGCCTGGTCCAGCGACTCGCGCTACGTTTGCAGCGCCTCGGACGACAAGACGCTCCGGGTGTGGGACTGCGAGACGAGCGAATGCCTCAAAATTCTCAAGGGCCACACCAACTTCGTGTTTTGCGTCAACTTCAACCCCCAGTCGAGCGTGATCGCGTCCGGATCATACGACGAGACGGTCCGCCTGTGGGACGTGAAGACGGGCAAGTGCTTGAAGGTGCTCCCGGCGCACTCGGACCCCGTCACCGCCGTGCACTACAACCGGGATGGATCGCTCATCGTCTCCAGCAGCTACGATGGGCTGATGAGGATCTGGGATAGTCAGACGGGGAACTGCCTCAAGACGCTCATCGACGACGAGAACCCGCCGGTCTCGTTCGTCAAGTTCTCGCCCAATGGGAAGTTCATCGTGGCTGGAACGCTGGACAACACCGTGGTACGTATGAGAAGCTCTCTCACTTTGGTTTTGCTCCCTTCTCTAGCTCGGCTGGCAAGGACTTAAACTTTTTTCTGTTCTTTCTCTAGCTCGAGGATTGAGCTCTCTCGTTTCTTTTCTTTAGCTTGATTGACTCCCTCGTTCACTTAGAACTTCCTCTCGTTTTTTTTCATTGTTTCTCGTTTCACAGACTCGCCTTTTTTTTTTCTGGCCTCCAAGCTCTTGAATCGTTCTTTTCTTCTCTATCTCGACGTGAGAGGACGCTTTCTTCTGGTCTTTCTCTAGCGCTAGCATTGAACTCTCTCGTTTCTTTCTTTTATCTAGCTTGATTGACTCCCTCGTTCCTACTTCTGAACTTTCTCTCGTTAGATTGTTATTTCTCAGACTCTCGCGTTCTTTGTCTGCTTCGTTCTTTTCTTCCTCGACGCGAGATAACGCGTTCCTTGCTGTTTGGTTTACGCAGAGGCTGTGGAACTACCAGACGGGGAAGTTTTTGAAGACCTACACCGGGCATGTCAACAACAAGTATTGCATCTTCTCGGCCTTCTCGGTGACAAACGGCAAGTACATTGTGAGCGGCTCCGAGGACAACTGCATCTACCTGTGGGACTTGCAATCCAAGAGCGTCGTCCAGAAGCTCGAGGGGCACACCGACGTCGTCCTCTCAGTGTGCTGCCACCCGAAGGAGAACAAGATAGCGTCGGGAGCTCTGGAGAAGGACAAGACCGTCAAGATCTGGGTACAAGGGTGATGAGCCCCAAGTTCTCGCTTTGTCTCTCTTTCTCTCACACACGGAGATCGATCGAAAGCCTGGTCGGAAGGCGATTTCTAGATGAAGATCGACGAGTTGCTTAAGTGGGTTTGTGATTAAAGTTAAAATCTTACCATCTAAGTGACCTAAACTTTGCGCGCCATAATTTCAAATAAAATCCACGCCAACCTCGATATAGAAAATGAATTTACCCCGACACGGATTCCAATGTCGCGGGAAAAGATGAGAAATCAAAAGATTTTACACCACGCTTTGCTTTCGCTACGCGCGCCAAAACGTTTTCACCCCACTCCTCGTTGTTCGTACACGATGGCGATGGCCACAACAAGATTTGGGCCACAAGTTCTAACTGTATTCAATTCTCGCACGCATGGGCCATGATTTGATCACGTCGATGCCCTAGTAGCTACTTGCGGGGAGGTATTTGAAAGTTGGCGGGGCGGGAAAACGGAATGGGATGTGAATGGATTGAAGTTGAGGGGGGCGAAAGCGCTGCTTCGATCGAGCGATCGATCCATTCTTGCGAGTGGTCGCGCTCGTTCTTTTTGTTTGTTATGCAGCTAGTGTGGCCGTAATAGCGATTGATAAGATAGTGGTGGAATTACAAACACAATCACCAGCATCAATTGTTTCCCTCTTTTAACATCAATCGCTATACCTAGCGGCCTGGCCCTGCTGCCCATTTCTTGAATTGCACTTATCCATCACAGTTTTTTATTCAACTGCCAAATTACATGGTGTTAATGTCTGGAGGAGTGAGCATTTAAAAGTTAAAAAGATAGAGCCAGGCATCTAGAGACAACAACAACAATAACAACAACAGTTGCAGAAAAGCAACCCCAAACAAGATTCAAATTAAAGATGGAGCCCTTTGTCCTTGCATGCACCCCCACATTGATTCTCACATGTGGATAGTTTGCAAAGTGATGCCATGACCTATGGTCCCTTGAAATATTTCTATTAGTATGTTCTTTTTTTCACAGCCCTATCTGACAAGTGTTTTGTGATGACGTGGCGATAGCAGGTGCTAACACGTCGGCTTGTCTAGGGCTGAGGTGGCTAGCCGGACAAAGGGGGGAGGTTTAAAGTCCTCGCATATGAGCGAGAGCTCGCTCTGTGCGAGTGGAATGGTAGCCATGCGTTCACTGCTGCTCCCCGACAATAGGTCTAAGTAGAGGCGCGCGCTGTGGCTTGTGGGGCGTCTTTCTCTTTCTCTCTGGTGTTTCGTAATGACTGATCCCTCCCTTTTCGATGAGCTGTGCTGAGCGCAAGCCAAAGCCAACAACAGGATATCAGAGGAATAAAATGCGAGCTGGAAACAAACAGCGCTAGCTAGCAAGCCAAGCACAGTGGCAGCTCTCGCCTCTCTCACACAGAAAAAGAGAGGAAAAGAAAAGGAAAAAGGGAGCGAATCCACTCTAGTCGGAGGATGAGATGAGGAGCTGTAAATGCGTAACGACAGGAGAGGAGTTTGTAGCGAGCGACTTACTTCTCATCAGACTGTTCCAGAGTGTTGTGGGCACAAGCGAGCGCAGGAACACTGTAGCAGCAGGAGCAGCAGCGTAGCACACGAAGGTCGCTCTCCTCTTCTTTTTTTTTTTTTTTGCCTCCATCCCTTCTTCCTTCTTGGCACTCTGGCATTCCTCCTCTCCTGCGCTTGCCACTCTGCTTACGAATGAATGCATGATCATCATCGGCGGCGCCAAGTACAGGTGGTTGCTTTGTCGCTTGGCCCATCCACTGTAGCTGCTGAGCAAACAAAACAGAAGCCGATCAGAGGTTTCCAAACTTGGTGAAAGCCGTATTGAAATGCTGCTGTCTACTTACCTCACTCTCTCTGTAAGGGTGCACTGTTTGTGCTCCTCCTATTTCTTCTCTGCTCGCTGAGCAGCGTTGATAACTTCACTGGGTTGTGCCTCCTCCTCCTCGATTGAGAGATTTCTTTTCCTCTATGCAATTGCCTCCTCTTTTCACTTCGTTGTCCTGCTCAGTGCTACTGCTTTGTAGTACGCTGCGAGCGGTCTCTCCTTTTGTTCTTTCTTTCTCTGATGTGGGCCGTCTCGTGACTCGCCAGCTCTCCTCCAGCACCGTGTACGTCCTTGAAGAGAATTGAAGTCCATGAAGAACCCGATGGTTGGTTGAAGGAAGTCCTGCCTTCCCCCTGTTCATCGCTTCGGCACGAGTGGCTGTTCCTCTTCTCCAACGAATCCGGAATGAAGCCCGATACTCCGCTGGATTCTGTGGTGTTTCAGCTCGACGAATCTCGCTCCAGGTTTCTCTTTTCTTTCTCTTTTCGTTTCGTAGGCCTTGAATCGTTCTTGCCTTAGATGCGAGCTATGGGTTGCCGCTGGAGAGTCCACCGAGAGATTGGCCTCTGGATCCTTGATGCCATTTCTAGCGCATCTCGACACGGCGCAAGAGCAGCTCGCGAATGATTGTAGCTCCATCGAGCTGCATTGTCCACATCAAGGCGCTTCCTGGTTCACCAAAAGAACCATCGAAAGGTCAGTTTTGTTGTACCAACAATTGATAGCGATTTAAATTTCACTCACCCACTTGCGCGCGACAGGTTCGTGAGATTTGTGAGCACGCCCGATGTGTTGGAGCGTGTGAGCTTCTTGGAGACGGAGCGCATGAAACTCGCTGAAGCGAGCAGCATCTTGATAAGCGAATCACCTCACGTAAGCGCTGGGAATTACTCGTTGCGATGACATCCCTCATCGTGCTTGCAAATTTGCTTTTTTCCACAGGTTGGAGCCTGCCTCCCACTCCCAGTTCTCGAATCTGGAAACGCAGGTTAGTTAAATCACTTGAAAATTAGAACCGAGAACGTAAAGACCGCTGACACGGGAGATGTTTCAGGCAAGGAAAAAGTTGAGCAAGCCAAAGCGCAGGTACGAAATGAAATGCAACTAGATATGAGTTTCGGCATGTTCTGAATCCGTCCTTCACAGGCTCATGCAGAGGCAGAGGAGCATTCAATGGACACCCTGGAGGTTGAAACTGAGTCTTCAAGGTAAAGGCCGACGAGCTCTCTCTTAGAATTCCACGCTCGGTTTCAATGCGCTCTCCCTTCCGAGTGGCAGGAGGCACTTGGTAAAGGCGATGGATGCACGGCGACTTATTCTGGAAAAGGAGCAAAGGAGTGCATTTGCTCGTGCAGCGGCAGCGGGCTTCACCATTGGTTCTCTGCCTGACTTGATCGCTTTCGCAGGCTGCTTTGGTGCCACCCGGCTGAGGTAACCCAGCACTTCATGGTCAAGTTTTGCTGACGAAACTATATGCAGTGAGGCCTGCTCGAAGTTTGCGGAATTGCATAGGAAACTACTTGATCCGGACGTTCCAGCGGAAAAACTGGAGGAAAAATCAGACACTCGGGCTTCTACAAAACTGGAGGAAAAATCAGAGACTCGTGCTTCTACAAAACTGGAGGAAAAATTAGAGGTGGAAGTACAGGCTGAGGTTGGGGTGAAAAACGTTGGAAGGAGAAGGGTATGGGGACCACCTGTCGCTGAGATCCCACTACAGATGCCGTTGGAAAGAGTGAATGGTAGTGTACCTGAGTCCGAAGGGCCGGATTGGAAAGATGGCGCATTTACTCCCGATGACTCCGACTCGCCACAAAAGTCCACTGCTTCCGGAGGCCGTGAATCTGATTGGGAAGACAAGGAAGGCAGCAGTGAGAACCCCGTTTACGCAAATGTGCTCGGTCAACTAAGCGGGAAAGACGCCGACAGTGGTGAGGCTGGGGAGGCCAAGTCCGCATCCAACCAGGTGGATGCGTCTGCAGTTCGAAGAAAAGGGATCGTTGTCATCAAGAACCTCAAGTTTCCGCAGACCGGAGCAAGCAGCATCATTGCAAAGCAGTCAGACACAGAGAGCGACAGAGACAGTGAGAATGAAACAAAAGGTGGCAGTGGCGGACGGCTCAGCGTTCAGGCAGCCATTAGTCTGTTTGAAACCAAGCAGAAAACATCCAGGGAGGTTTCGAGACAACAGGTGGACACAAAGAATGTAGATAGGAAGACGTCGGATCCTCCAACACGTACAGGAAAGCAAGACCCAGCGGCAAGTGACGGACACAAGTACGCACTCAAGCACAAGCACACACCGCGGGAACTTCTAAGTGACGATGTCAAGCGCAAAAGCATGCTTACCGAAAGTTTACAGTTGGGTTTGCCGAAGAGAGACCGCGATTTCATTCTGCAAAAGTCAAGTTTAGATAGCAAGGGACAAAGAGGACATACTAAAATGGACGCTGTGAATGATCTGGCTAGGACTCGGAAGGAACAGGTTGATAGAACACAAAAAGAGGGCGGGAGCCGTCAGAACACTACAGCAAAAACTGCAGACGAGATTAGAAAAGAGTTGCTTAGTAGGACTCAGCAAAGAACAGGTGCAAGCAACCAGAGCACAGTAAAATCTGCGGACGAAATCAGCAAGGAACTGCTTGATAGGAGCTATACGTGCTTGCTGAAAATAAACTCTGTTGTGCAAGACGCCTTGTTCTCTGCTTCGGCCTTGCGACAGACTAAAAAACCGGAACAGCCCAAGGCAAATGTCGAAACAGATAGCGACAGCAGGGAATGGAGATCACTCTCGAATGTTTCCAAGTTCGGTTTAGACGACATCTTCCTCGAGAATAACGTTTCAACCAAGGAAGCCTCTCGGAGACAGTCATTGTGCACTCCAGCAGAGTATGACGGTAAAGCCAATAGCGACGACGTAATGGCAACAAGAGCTCCTCACGAGCATGAGAAGGGAAGGTTTTACGACCAGTATCAAGAAATACGAGCCGCAAAATACAAGAAGGAATCGACACACTTGAAAGCAGAGCGAGAATCGAAGCTGAGAGCAATGCAGGATGTTTTGGAAAGGCGCAAGACAGAACTTATGGGAAAAAGCACGCGGCTCCCAGAAAAGAACAATACGATGACAGTTGAGCAGATACGGGCCATAAAGCTTCAAGCCACGAAAAACGTCGTGAAAAAGGTACATACCTCGAGTTTTTGTTTAACGGTTCGATGATCTTTCTTATACAGGATGTGCGCTTAGACTCCATCAAAGCTCTGCAAAATGAAAAGTCAGGGACCCGGACTAGAACTTCCAACGTTCTGCGCTGCAAGCAAGAGTCATCTCCAAGCTCTACAACCTCATCCACAAGAAAAATCTCACCTGGTCCTCCGAAGCCACTAGCAACTCCAAGGAACTTCGGACGCTTAAGTTCCTCTCCACGTTCGAAGCACTTATCGAGTGGACCTCCTGTAAGTCAAAGAAGAATGCCGAATTTTATGAGTCAGTCGGTTATCGCTGAAAGCTTGCATACTCAAGCAGACCTGAGAAAGGAAAATGCCAAGCCTTTTACGGGGAGAAACAGCTTGAACACGATTCATGAGGCTGGCCAACCGTCGAGATATTCTCAGTCCCGGGCAGACAAGGTGAACCGAAACTTGGCACTTGAAACTTCTCCTTCCAACGGGGAGATTAAGAGACTGGGTGGGAAGGGAAGAACGGACGCCAGGGACAGCCAGATTCTAGCTCCACTCAAAGTTCCTCGAGACCTGGCACCAGAAAAAGGCAGGGTGAAACAGGATTTGCCAAAGGCTCAAGGCGTACCAAGGATTGTGATTCCTAGACCGTCCAACTCTCCAGTCTCTTCTGGTTCGAAGCCCGGAAGTGTTCCTGAGCCGAAGTGTGAAGCCGGAAAAACTGGTACTGTGGAAAGGTCCACACCAGTCTCCTCGACGAAGTCCAGCGACGAGTGCATCAAGCAGATCGTAAGCTGTACTAGCAAGGATAGAAACGAGCAGGCACCTGAGGACAACCCTTCCAAGACTTTGGCTTCCCCTGGCCTCCCGGCTGAAGCTCCACAGGTCTCTCTGGTCATTACGAACGTCAAAAGTGAGAGCTTCAAAGAGCAACCAAAGTCGGAGGAGCCTTACACTTCGAGCGAGATCAAGTTCGAGGCGTTTGTCTCCAAGGATTTCGAGGACGACGTGCAGATCGACGAGGCTCTGGAGAAATGCATGTCCGGGAGATCTTTCCTGGACGGCATCTCCGCTTCTCCACTCACGACGTACGAGACCACCACCACCTTGGGAATCAAAGGCATTTGCTGCAGCAAACAGGATCTCATCAGTTCTTCGCTACGCACAGGGCCATCGTCGCAAAGTCTACCTCATTTGCAGCGATCGCTCTCCCCGTCATCGCTAGCATCCTTTCGAAACGACTTCGCTGCCAAGGAGATCAAGGCCCTTTGCAAAGAGCATCACCAGCCCGTGGCACACAAGGACCAGCCCAAGGGATTGAAGCGCCTCCTCAAATTCGGACGTAGGAGCCGAGCGTCGGACAGCAATGCGGGGGAATGGAGCACGTTCAACGAGGATTTCATCGTAAACAGTACCCGATCGAGCAAGAAGAACGCGGCGGTGGAGGAACCCTTGCCCAGGACGGCCGGATCCAGCGCCGGGAGCAGCGTGAGGCGGAGCTTGGAGGCGCTGCCAAAGATTGCCGACGCTGCGAGCGAAATATGTAAGATTCGTACAAATCCCTCTCCCTCGCTCTCTCAGATCTAGCTTACAGACTCACCGATCGCGCCTTGTTTGCAGCAGCCAGGAATTTCTTCTCCACTTTCCGGAGCAAGAGCAACGCCAGTGAATCCCGATCTAGGGCTTGAGAGCTCCGCGCGAATGTGAACTGGGAATAGGTATAGAGATGGAAAGAAAAGAGAAAGCTCGGATACTTTGTGGTGTGAACTCAAATGAAAGGATATTCGATTCCAAACGGCCCTTACCGCGCGGCATACAGCCACATGGCGTACAGCGCTGCACGGTCTGGCAGTAACATCAAACATTGAACTCTTCTTTTCAAGCTTCTGCCATAGCCGCTGCTTGTATCTCCTTGACGAGATCATCATACGCTGCGAGAACAAAAAATCTAAGACTTTCAAGCTTTCCTAGAAAAAAAAGAGAGAAAAGATTACCATCGGGTAGAAGTTTCATTCTCAAGAGTTCTTCCGCTTTAGAAACTTTGATCGACGCAGCTTGAGATGCCTGCTGCGACCGAGTTCCACGCCGCCCGCTTGCTTTTCGGCCTGGATGAGCGAGAGACCACACCAAAACCGTGCACCGCGTCGGGTACTCGGACGCGAGATTGTCAAAGGCGAGCTCGACGTCGGCTTTACTGGCAGAACGAACCGCGCATAGAAATCACAAAAAGAAAACACTTGCAAGCATAAGGACGTCTTACCAGGTTGGTTCGTCGAGTGAAAACTTGATCAGGTTGTAAGGCAAGCTGTGGTAAAGATCTCCAATACTGTCTCCGTGGAGCTGCTTTAGCCCCAGAATCTGGAAACTACTCTTGTGTCACAACAAACGATCTAAACTCGAAGAGTTTTACCTGTCCTCGTCTACAAACAAAAGCCTGTAGATGGCTGTCAACATGGTCGAGGAAATTCTAGAGAAAAAGATGAGTAAAGCTCAAATAGAGAAGAAGCAAGCGGATTACCGTGGCACTAAGCTGCAAGTGAGTTTTCTCTATCTCGCGGAGGTTCAAGTAAAATGGAATGTTGTCTTTGCTCACGAAAATTTTGTTGGACGGTGGCTTCGTTGTTAAAACACAGTAGTAGCGTTCTTGTTCTTGTTCTGCAACATACCACCATCACTAACTTGTTGGGCGAATGTTTATCCCATACCTGAGAAAGCTGGAGTGAATTCGATTCCGATGCGTCTGTTGCTCAAGATAAAAATTGCCTGGGAGCTCGAAAGAGAATTAAGCACAAAAGAGAAATTCTGGATTCTTGTACCTTTCGACCGATATGATACAGCAATCTTCCGGTGTCGTTCCTTTCACTCTCGGAACTATTTTCGCTGTAAGCCTGCAAAAGACGAATGCTCCTAGAACTACACAAAACTAAGAGAAACTACCTGCTCAAAGATGGTTTCTAGCAGTGCATCGTTCCAACTAGAGCTTTCCAAATACGCCCCCTCTACGACAAAACAAATCTAGCAAATCAAAGAAAAAGGAAAGAGAAAAACAAGTCCAACCTGAAGAGCTAGCTCTAGCTTCATCGAACTCTTGAGCCAATTTTGCGCCTTGAGCTTTCTCTGGCTTACTAGACAAAAATTTAGCTCGAGAAACATACAAAGAAGGGAAAAGAAGAACAAAGAATACCTGAGCGTTTCACGAAGTTGTAGATGCCTCTCTTGCAATCCCGAAACTACGATAGAGAAAAAAAAAGAGAGAGATCATAAATATGGAAGCGTGAGCCTTGGAACACTTACTTCGAGCTCGGATCGCTTCCAGGGACACTTCGTGCTCGTCTTCCTGCCAGATTGGGGGTAAAATCCAGACTAAAATTCGAAGAATGCTACCCGTGGAGTCGTGTCGGCGTGAATGCGCTTGGGGCGCTGGGCGTGAGGGCGTCGCTCACTGATCTTCCGCTTGTCCCGCTCCTCCATTGTTAGGGCTCACTATGTGACGTGGCCATATTTTAGGGTTTATGCGAGGTTTTTGTGGGCAATGGCGGATCAAGGCCCCCAGGCGATGCATTTCACGCTTCATCTGGATAAGCCGATCGCTTGCCAGGTAATGTTTCTAGGCGGCTGATTTCTCTCGGCAAAGCGCGCATTCTTTCTCTCAGGTGGAGATCGCGTCTTGGAATCCGGAGAAGGATTTGCTCGCAATGGTGAGCACGGATCATCAGCTCACGGTCCATCGATTCAACTGGCAGAAGCTGTGGACGATTTCTCCGGGTAAAAGACGTTCGATGCATTTGATGTGAGATTTTACTAGTGATTGGAACAGAGAAGAAGATCACTGCTATATGCTGGCGTCCCGATGGAAAGGCTCTAGCAGTCGGGCACGAAAATGGCGAAATATCTCTTCACGATGTCGAGGTTCTTATCGTTGCATTGGTGTATATTCTTGTGAGCTTTTCCTTCCAGAATGGCGAGGTTTTGAGAACACTTGAAGCGCACAAGGCCTCGGTTCAGTGTGTCTACTGGGTGGAAGAAAGGTCTGCTCGATCACAGGTACTTAGAGCAGCATTCTTTCTCTTTTTTCATGCTAGAAGCGTTTCATTGTTTGATACAGGGTTCCACTTTACATGAAGATCGAACTTCGAGATTTTTTCCTCCACCGCCAAAGCCACCAGCAATGCCAGGAACAGGCCCTGCGTTTGATATGGCTGGCGCATTTGCTTCTGGGGATGATCAAGAAAACATTTCTCAGAATGCGGCATCGAAACACTCTGAGCAGTACCTCAACATCTTGTGCAGCAGCGACAGCAATGGGCTTGTTTGCCTCAACGCATTTGGCTTGTTTGCCATTGGAGAACTGGTATGCTTCACTTTAACTTGGTGGCGTCTAACGTGAATACCCTCTAGAACTTACACAACTTTCCCAATTGGAAGCAACTATCAGCTGTGAAGGTATTCTGTTTCTCTGATCGTGGTAGCGTTTCTAACCTCGAAGAATGGTATCTACAGGTGATGCTCTCTGGCGACCTATGCAACATGATCCTGCTTTGCCATGACCAGGATAAAAACTCGGGATTAGTCTCCATCTCAGTCGATACTACTTTGCTTAACAGTCGGTGGGTATTTTTGGAAGATATGGTCGAAACTAAAGCTCTATTTGCAGGCGCAATGAAATTCGTCAAGTTGCACTACAGGCTTCCAGCATTGAAGAGCTGCTAGAAGTTCTGCAAAAAACTTTGACGGTCATGAGAAGACACTGGGTTGATGCAATGAGCGCGTTTGCCGACAAATTTAGTGCATTTCAGACACTCCTCCGTGAAAATGGTAAGCTTTTTATTTTGTATTCTTGTCAACATCGAACCTTTGTGGCAGGATCGCTGTCAACACCACGTGATGAGCTCCTGACCCTTCTGGCTTGTGGCTCAGCAAGTGTCTCCCTCCATCAGTTCCTTGCTGTTACATTAGGAGAAGGGGTATGGAGGTTCTTTGCTCTATTTGCGCTAATGTGATCACTTCCAGGGACTGAAAAAACTTGGAAAAAGCATTGATGCTGCCGGGAGGGAGATTCAGGTTCTTATAGCTGATCATCTTCAAGTAAGCAGTTGTTTTGAAGTGCAATGATTAACTGTAAGTCGGTGAAGCCTGCCGCAGAGATTTTAGCATTCAGGATTGGCGAGCTCCTTGGTCTGTCACGTTGGCGTAGTCAGCTGCAATCCATCGGTCTAGACGAAGTTCTGGTTAACTCTGTCATGGAGAACGCAGGAATGCTAATGGTGCAAGTGGAACGATTTCTTCATGTAGTGAGTGACACGGTTGGACAGGTAAACATTATTACGGCTTACAAACTTTCGATTTGTACTTACCCGTTAAAGTTTCTAGTATCGTCTCTTCTTCGTATGGCTTACAAAATCGCTGCGACTATTTAATGCCGAGACTTCACCCTTGCATACAGAGCCCATCAACAGGTACCACGTAGTGTCTATGTTTGTTTCGTCCTGCTAAAACCTCCTCTTCTTTCAAACCAGTACAGCCATCGCGACATTTTTGAGACAACAGTTCGACTCAGATCTCATTGGACCACATGTAATTTCGGAAGGTGTTCTACCGAACATTGGGTTGTATGTATAACCATGTTCAGCTTTTGACGACATTAATGTTATCTGTTGCAGTGAAGAGGACTTGTCGAAAGCTGAAGAACTTCTTTTGCTTGGCGGATTTCAAGACGTCAAGTTCCTCCAAAGGACTCTCTTTCAGCAGCTCAATTGTCTGTGTGACAGGTAGGCGCACTTACTTTGCTAGGTAAAGGCTCACATTCTCTTCCTGCAGCTGGCGAGCTGCCATTTCTAAGCCCGTCGCTGTAATCTCCCCTAGATTGTGTTTTAAAAGTCATTTCTTCCTCTGTGAGTTCCCCAAGCTTCTTCCGTTATCGTGCACATACTATGAGGTAGGCTCTACTTTATTGATTTCAGATCCGCAGGGTTTGTCCATTCTACAGATGAAAACGGAAACCCCCAGTTTTGTTGATTATACATGCTTTGAGATTCATACAGACGGGCTGAACCATATCGGTGTACTTCGTGGCTTCAACTCCCAAAGCATGGGCTCCGACGGAAACGAAGTTGAAGCCGTGGTCCTGCAACTCAATGAACACCTTACCTGTTTGGATTTTTCCTTGTACAAGGTACGAACTGCCAACCGCGACGGTCATTTACTGAGTGGTCTATTCCTGCTCGCAGGAGAAACAACTGCTTTTGCTACTCAATGAAAGATTACCTCAGTGTGGTAGCAATCAGGCGTGGATTATGGTATTGGAGCTGGAAGAGCTGCCTTTTATATCATTGAAGTCGCAGACTAACGAGGCGAGGGAAATTCTCCGGTTTTGCACGTCGAACGTGAGTTACAGTTGTGTCGTTGGACATGAGAGTAACCTGGAACGTGCAGGATGCTCTTGCATTCGTCGGCTTGAGGAGCGGCAAAGCTCGATCCATCCTTCAGCTGGACGTGATCCCTCCCATCGCCGTTAGTGGTATGAGCTAAGTTTTGCCTTGAGTCTTCTTTATCGTTTGATTCCAGCTTCAAGAGGACTTGCGTGCGTTTTCGCTGCTCAAAAGCGAGCAATGCTTTACGATCTGGAAGAAGACGAGGAAGAAAAGGATGATTGACAGGTACTTCATTTTTTCGAAATCTCTACTTTGCTGTGACGCTGGTCATACGGCTTTGCCACGCGGCGCCAGCCTGTTCGTCGCTCCTTTTGAGTTTCTGTGGACCCAAGGAGGTAATGGAATGAATTTTTTCGCTGGCTATTCCTGAAGCTCTGCCAGGCGATAGCTGGTACTGAATCAAAGCTTCCAGTTATAAGGCGCGTGCTGGGATGGTGTACAAACGCCTTTGAAACGGCTCGGTTCTCCTGGATTTGTCGTAGAACACGCACCGTGAGCGACTGGGGTAAGTCTAGCCTGTTGCTTGCTGCTTGCGTGAGCTCCTCCTTTTTTGACTGGTTCTGTTGCTGGTAAGACACTTCTTCCGGCCAAATGGTAGTGGCTTAGACCTTTCGTTGAAGACATTTTCAACTTCCGCATTTCCACAGGGTTATTGAGGCTTTATGGTTCGCAGGAGCAGCAGGAATCCCACATGTGTTTCAAGCTCAATGATCTCCATAAGGTGCTGTGGACTTTTCAGTCGTCTATATGGATTTCTCAGGGGAAGGGGCTTGCAGATGGCTCCCAGGGTCTTCTCCTTCAACTCCTCTCGAGAGACGGGCAAGGGGGAATCGTTCCATGTCATGCACGGCTTCTCCAAGATCAAAGGCAAGGCAAGGCATCCCATGGAGGATGTGCTGGTGAGCTTGTACAAGGAGTTCAAGGGACACAAGCTCGGGCTTTTCGCGGTGTATGACGGACACCTGGGGAGAGATGTCGCCGATTATCTCGAGGAGAACTTGTTTGACACTATCCTTGACGAGGTAATACACAGACTCTCCATTTCCCTTTCGGTACTGACTGGCTTTTTCGCTTCTGCATCAGCCTGATCTCTTTTGCAATCCGAAAACGGCCCTGGAAAACGCATACCACAGCACTGATGCTGTGATCTTGCAAATGTCGCATCCTGGCGGCTCCACTGCAGTCACTGCTATTGTCGTCGACAACAAAAGGCTGCTGGTTGCAAACGTTGGAGACTCTCGAGCGGTACTGTGCGAAGCCGGCGAAGCCAAGCAACTCTCTGTAGACCACGAACCCAGCGCTGAACGTCAGCTGGTGGAAAGCCGAGGGGGTCATGTCACTCATTTTCCAGGTAACTGCTAGTCAAAAGAAAAGTGTATCTCTTTTCTTTTTTTCTAAGCATCGCTTTCGTGATCTTAGGAGATGTAGCACGCGTTGATGGCCAACTTGCGGTGGCACGCGCCTTTGGTGACAAGAGCTTGAAGCAACATCTAAGCGCCGAGCCCCACGTCTGCGAAGTTATCCTGAGCGAGAGGTCCGAGTTTATGATCCTCGGAAGCGATGGACTCTGGAAGGTATGCGCTCGATCTCGTGCTTTTGCTGTTTGACTTCCCAGATCGAAATGTAACGCTCAGGTGATCGAGAACCAAGTGGCAGTGGACTTGATCCGAGGCATCAAAGACCCGGAGGAGGCAGCGAAGTGTTTGACAAGCACAGCCGTCCAGAAGAAGAGCAGGGATGATATCTCTTGCATCGTGGTGCGCTTCCACGCGTAAGTTTTTCAATGCATTATCTTCGCAATCGCAGTGGAAGCCATAGCCATCGCCCATCGCCATAAAAGAGTCCATTGTTTTTCCAGCTCAAAGCTGCTGGTGCTCCATGAAAATCCCATGCTACTCGTTTTGGAGGATCCAAAAGACCATAGAACTCGATCTCGAGCTCGTACATTTATTTTTCTACCAGCCTTTAGCATTCGTTCGTTCGTGCTCGTTCACTACCTACGCGCTGGCTGGAGTTTTCCCAATCACCCCACCTAAGATCGTACTAGAACTTGCCGAGGAGAGTCCCACGAGAGAGAGAGTTCTTTCTAGCCCACCTGGTTCAAAGGATTGTCTGGAGATTTCTTCCACAGCTTCCACAGCAAATCCTTGTACTGCGTGTGCGTCAATCCGGGCTTGTCCGCCTTGAGCTTGGCCAGCTCCACCTCCTCAAACGCCTTGTAGCTCGCCCTCGCCCGCTTCTCCGGGTGGCGATCCATCGGGAGCTCGTCCGGGATGGCCATCTGGGCGATGGCCGCCTCCACACTCCTGGCCTCGATCAGATCCTCCGCCCTATTGACGTTCTCCACCGCCACCATCTTTTCATACTCCTGCTCATCCGTGGCTCGCATCTCCCGCCGCTTGGTCTCCGCTGCTAGGGCCGCCAGCCTCGCCGCCTCCGCCTCCCTCTGCCGCTCCAGCTCCACCGCCGTCACTTTGGGCACCGCCGGGGATCCAACGCCCACGCGCAGGGATTTCTTGTCCACCTTTTTGCCGTAGCCCTCCATCTCGCGCTCCTCCTTCTCGGCCAGCCGCCGCGCCTCGGCCTTCTTGGCCAGGATCTCGGCCTTCTTCTCGGCTTCCTCTTCGCGCTTCTTGCTCGACCTCGATTTGGGGCCTTCCAGCTCCTGCCAGTACCTGTCCTCCTTGTCCTTGGACTCGCGATCCTTGCGCTCTGATTCCGCCTCGGCCTTGCGCGATCGCGCCTCCTCCGCCTTGCTGTTGATCCCCATCTTTTTCGGCATTTTCTCTCCCCCCTCTCTCAGGAACCCTAAAGAGATATCCCATTTATCTCTGACGAACCCTAAAAGATATGAGTGAGAATTAGGGTTCTTGGGAGTGGAGCAATGGCTGCGGCAGTGGCGGTACCGGCATCTGACAGGTATGGTGGCGATCTAAACCATGGCGCCAGAGAGGAGCGCAGGGAAGACTATGATGAGCGCCGCAGCAAACGCAAGGGCCGTGATGAAGATGGAGACAGAGGTGGGAGATCGAGCGATCAAGATAAGAGGCGCCGCGACGACGCCAGGGACGAAGATCGCTGGCGGGGGCGAGACGAAGATGCTAGCAGACGGGAAGATTCTAGCAGGCGAGGGCGAGACGAAGATTCTAGCAGAAGGGGGCGAGACGAGGATTCTAGCAGAAGGGGGCGAGACGAAGATGCTAGCAAGCGGCGAGATGACGATGCCAAAGAGGAGAAGATTGTGCTTCCTGCGGGAAGGAGTGGAGGGACATATATTCCTCCTTTCAAGCTCGCCCAGATGATGAGGGATGTGAAAGACAAGACGAGCGTGGAGTACCAGAGGATGGCCTGGGATGCTCTGCGCAAGAGTATCAATGGTCTCGTGAACAAGGTGAACACTTCCAACATCCGGAACATCCTCAAGGAGCTCATTGCTGAGAACTTGATCCGGGGGAGAGGATTGTTTGCGAGATCGTGCATGAAGTCGCAGATGGCCTCGCCTGCTTTCACGCACGTGTTTGCCGGCCTTGTTGCTGTGATCAACACCAAGTTTCCAGCTCTTGGAGGATTGCTGCTGACAAGAATCATCCTACAGTTTCGCAGGGCCTTCAAAAGAAATGACAAGGTAATGGTGTTTGTTCTTCTCTCTTTATTCTGCTGAGCTTGGTTTTTCTTTCCTTTATTTCCAGCCCGTTTTACTCGCAGTGACAAAGTTCCTGGCGCATCTTGTTAATCAACGAGTTGCTCATGAAGTGATTGCACTTGAGTTGCTAATGCTCCTGCTGGAAAATCCTACAGATGATAGTATAGAGGTAAGAGTATGGAATTTTGGCGATCCTTGGTACCAATATGCATTGTCCATTTAGGTGGCTGTTGGATTTCTCAAGGAGTGTGGAGCGTATTTGCTGGAGATTTCTCCCAAGTGCTTTCAGAGTATGTTTTTCGTGTGGACATTATTTTAAATCATCTGACGCTTTTCTGGCAGTGATTTTCGATCGGTTCCGAGCTGTTCTTCACGAGGGAGAGATCGACAAACGTGTTCAATTCATGATCGAGGGAGTTTTTGCTTTACGAAAATCGAACTTTCAGGTATGAACTTGTTCTGTCTTTCAATGTTTCAGACTCAAATTGTCATGGTCTGCGCAGGGACATCCAGCAATAATCTCAGAATTGGATCTTGTTGAAGAAGGTGACCAGGAAACACATCAGATTTCCCTTCTAGACAAGGACCTGGATCCAGAAAGTCGCCTTGGTAAGTCCAAAAAGCGTACCTGATCTTATCTCACGTTTCTCGTGCTTCCAGACATCTTTGCTCCGGATCCTGATTACTTGGAGAATGAGAAGAAATACGAGACCATTAAGAACAGCATTCTCGGTGACGAAAAAGAGGAAAAGGATGGGTCAGCCTCTGGTTCCGAAGAGGAGGACGATGAAGACGAGGGCGAAGAAGAAGAAGATGAAGATGATCCTTCGCAGAGCATCCAAGACCTCACAGAAACAAACTTGGTGAACCTCAGGCGTACCATATATCTAACGATCATGTCAAGTGTCGATTTTGAAGAGGCTGGCCATAAGCTTTTAAAGATAAAGCTGGAACCAGGCCAAGAGGTATGTTCCTTCTTTTCTTTCAATATTTGTGGCTAATGATCCTACACGTCTCTGCAGAAAGAACTGTGTATCATGCTTTTAGAATGCTGCAGCCAAGAACGGACGTACCTGAGATACTATGGGCTTTTGGGCCAGCGATTTTGCATGATCAACCAAGTGTTCCAGCAACATTTTGACGAGTGCTTCCTCGGCCAGTACACAACAATACACAGGCTAGAAACGAACAAGCTCAGGAACGTGGCCAAGTTCTTTGCGCATTTGCTAGGGACGGACGCTCTTCCATGGACAACTCTCGAGTACATCAACTTGACCGAGGAGGCGACGACATCATCGTCTCGTATCTTCATCAAGATCCTGTTCCAGGTATGAGCTTTTACATTTTGGTTTCTCGTTTGCTCACTTTTCTCTCTTTTCAGGAGCTTTCGGAGCATCTGGGACTGCAAAAGCTGAACGAACGCCTCACAGACCCAGACGAGCAGATGCAGAGAAACGTGGGCGGCATCTTCCCGCGGGACAACCCGAAGAACACACGCTTCGCCATCAACTTCTTCACTTCCATCGGTCTGGGTGGTCTCACGGACAGCTTGCGAGAGTACCTCAAAAACATGCCCCGGTTCATCATGGAGCAGCAAAAGCCGGTGGAGAGCAGCGACGACGAAAGCTCAGACAGCGAGAGCTCGTCGTCGGAACCATCATCTTCGTCTTCAAGCGAATCCGACTCCGACTCCGACAGCAGCAGCGACGAGAGGAGTAAAAAGAGGAGGAAGAAGTAGCAAAAACAATGGCAGGACAAGCTCGGCGCTCTCGAAGAACACTCCAACGTTTTGACACACTGTAAGTGGTGGAATTGCTCATCGTTTGCTTTCTAATCGAGATTGTGTGCCAGGAACTCTAAATCTTTGCTTGTAAAACAGGAACTCTAGAACTCGACTGTCTTGTAAACTCACTATTGAGGTATCCAAAAGAATTTTATCAAGGACCAGAATATCCAACGTCTTATGTAAACGTGGCGGTTTACGTGTCATCTGACGTGGCCCCTACACTGATTTGCTTTAGGTCGGAGGGAGAGAGGGCGGCCGAGCGCCTGCAAGGGCAGGGGCCAGGAGCTTGGATGCGATGGCCAGATTTCTTCTCCTTCATCTCCACAGCACCGCGGAGGATTGGTGGTACACTCTCAACGAGTCCAAGGCATGGCAGAATCGATTCTACTACTCGCTCTCCGGCGCCTATCTCCTTGTAGCTCTCGTCGCCCTGGTATGGAATCCGGCTAGTTTGTTGGTCTTTTCTATTGATTCTCGGGGAATCGTGGCGATTTCTCTCGCAGATACAACTCATCCGGATCGAGATTCGCGTCCCCGAGTATGGCTGGACGACGCAGAAGGTCTTCCATTTGCTGAATTTCCTTGTAAATGGAGGTGAGATTCTTCCATCTTAGAATTTTGGATTGATCTCTTCGCTTGCTAGTCCGAGCTGTGGTGTTCTTCTTCCGGCGCCAAGTCCAGTTCCTTGAGCCCCGGGTGAGGAAATGAAGTCTTTTGGAGTTTCTCTAAACGATCTCTTCCTTTTTCTCTACTGCTTTATGTAGATTTTACAATCACTTCTTCTGGATTTACCCGGACTCTTGTTCTTCACGACGTATACTTTGCTAGTACTCTTCTGGGCTGAGATTTATCACCAGGTAAATCTAAGCTAGAGATCTTGATTGCTTGGGTGATTGATAGTCTCTTTCCTTGCGGAATCTTGGATTTTGTCCAGGCTCGGAGCCTTCCGACGGATAACCTGAGACCAACCTTTGTGGTGATCAATACCATCATTTACACAATCCAGGTTCTCTTTTCTTTCCTTTTTTGCTCTCTGTTCTTTTCTCCTTCGATTCTTCTAGCCTGTAACTATTCAAGCTTTGATGTGTAGATCCTTGTGTGGCTGATTGTCTGGTGGAAGCCACTTGGCCTCCTCGAGAGCTTCTCCAAGATTTTCTTTGCCGGCGTGTCATTGGGTGCAGCGATCGGGTTTCTTCTCTACGGTGGAAGGTCGGTGTTGAGCTTTTGGTGACGGAGAGAAAGACTGTTTTGTTTCCAGGCTGTTCTTGATGCTACAAAGATTTCCCATCGAATCAAAGGGCCGCAGGAAAAAGCTGCGTGAGGTAATTACATCAGTCTCTTTCACGGCATCTTATCCTACTCAGCTGTTTTGTAGGTCGGCCTTGTGACTGCTATATGCTTCACTTGCTTTACAATCAGATCCGGAATTGTAAGAGAAACTCCTCTTTTTCCCTCTTTTTCTTAAGGATGAGTTTGCTAACTAATCTCTCACCAGATGGCGTGGGCTGCATTTGACAAGCGTGGAGATTTAGATGTGTTGGATCATCCAGTTTTGGACACCGTTGTCTACCTAGTAAGCTTCTAAAGAAGAAAAGGATGGATGTTCTAACACTTTTGCGTGTCTTCCAGCTTGTGGAGATACTTCCCTCGGCGTTGGTTCTTTATATATTGAGGAAGCTCCCACCAAACAGACCAGGTCCTCCTGGTTACGAACCAATCCCATCAACAATTCGAACAGGGTAGGAGTTCTTCTTTTTGCATCTTCGTTATCTTGTGTTGAGTGGATGGTTCTTGGTTGAAGAGTAATAACGTAGTATCTGGCATGTACAGTACTCCTGTAATTTTATACTACCAGGTCTCACTAGTTGTTAAATCATCATGTCAATATACGTCTTTTACGGTCAGCAAATCAGTGGACTAACAAAGTGGTTATTAACAAATTTTTAAAAAAGTAGAAAAAATTACTACTTTTTGTCATCTTTGGCATCTTTCTTGACATCTCTAACATTTTCCTTATATCTTCATGTGAACATCTTGTTACCTGATTAAATCCCTAGACTATATCCTTGTATAGACTAGCACATAAGCTAGTCTTTTAATCTCTAATAATTACTACTTTCCCCCCCTTTGAGAAATGTAAACACAACCACACAGTTAATAAAATATGAAAAAATACTCACTTAAACCATCACTCAGAAAAACAATTTTGCCTTAAAAACTAGTGATAGTTGCAATGCCAAGACTAGCATAATATTTCAAAAACAAAGGTGGTATATCAGTCACTATATCATGTGTAGTAATTAATGCTATAACAACATTCCTTTTTCATACTTTAAATCAAACATACTGATAGTGTCTGTCAATATGCTTATGCTTTGAGTGAAGAGCTAGATCTTTGGCCAAAGCAATAGTAGACTAATTATTACAATATAAGGACATGGGAGTAATAGAGGATGTCCCCAAGACAGTAAGTAGTTTACAAAGACATATTATTTCTTGAGTGGTTAGACTAACTACAATACATTCTGCTTCTATAGATCTATAGAAGATATTATTATGCAATGTTTACACTTCAAAAACTAAAAGACAACATCAGAACTTATAAGAAAACATGAGCCACTTGTAGATCGATGAAGTCATCAACTGCACCAACCCAATTTGAATCAATGTAAGTTGTTAATATCATAGAATGAGTTCCAGAACTATTACTTTTAAGATATCAAAGAACTCATTTTATTGCCCTCCCAATGGATAATTTTTGGAGCTGTGAGATATTGCCCCAAAGAATTAGCAATATATGCAATATTATGCTAAGTAGCAATACCAATGTACACTACTATACCAACTAAATTTTGATACTTTGAAATATTAATAAAAGTAATACAGGAAATGTGAGCATGGATCCATAACCAAATTTTGGCTTTGGATTATAATTTCTAGGCTTTGAAGATGTAGGAATCAAGTGCTTTACAATCCACCATTCTAAAATGTAAAGTTTGATTAAATCATAAAATTTAGGAAGAAATTTAAATACCCTGATCAAAATTATGTGTGATCTTAATGCCTAAGCAATAATGTATAGAGCCTTGACCATGTCAAAAGGTGTGCTTAACTGGGACTTAACATTAGCAAAAAAAATCAAGCTATTCGTTATGAGAATAGTATTATCAATATAAAGAACAATAATCACAAAGGAGGGTGGTGTCCCTTTTAAAAAAAAAAATTGAATCTGCACTTAGCTTGAAACTCTTCTCTATATAAATAAAAATCAATATTATAAAATCAAGTATATACCACTTGTTTTAGTCTATAAAATGAACATTGAAGCTTACATACTAAATATTCTTGGTAGAGGTAACATATCCTTCTGGTTGTTTCATATATAGATCTTCTTTTGTAAATCACCATTAAAAAACATTATCTTCACATCCATCTGATGAATGTCATAATCAAATTCAATAGCTAGAGCAAGAAATATATGAATAATAGTACTTCAAGCCACTAAAGAGAATGTATCTTGAAAATCCATACCAGCAACTTGTGAATATCCTTTTACAACTAACTGAGCTTTAAACTTGCCAATAAAATTGTCAAATGTGTTTTAACTTTAAAAACCCATTTCCATTTGATAGCTTCTCATTGTGAAGAAAATGAATGAGTTTCCAAGTACTTTTGATGAGTACAATATTATAAATGAACAGAACAAAAAAAAGAGAAGAAAATACCTTTTGGCTAATCAAAACATAGTTCCACTTATCAGAATGAGGACTATATGTGATATAAAAAAAATTGTAAGTGTAAAATTTACATCAGGTGCTAGAGAGGAATAAAAAGGTAGTAGTTATCTACAAGATAGCTTGGTGGACGGCCTTTTAAATTTTAGTGTAGTATTGCTATGTTGTTGCACCTTGAACAAAAAAGATAATTCAAAAGATAATTCTCTAGTGCAATTGGAATCTCAGCTAAATAATCATCATAATTCATTCAAGTAACATGGTATCAAAGCAAGGATCCAACTAGCCAACCTAGGGCTAGGGATTTATATAATTTTCAATCATTTTATTTATGTCCAAGTGACTATGTTATCACCCTTGTGGACACTTTGTGATCTTGTTATGATGAAGATTTTTTAGGGTGGATGTGATAGCCTTTGTCTAGTTGAAGTGACTACTAGTGCTCATACTTTGGGACATGTTCATGTATATCATCATTCTTTTGTAAGCTCTTGAATTTCGACTTCTCAAGAGGTTATTTAACCCATGGTATTATTATAAACTTTATGCCTCACTAGAGCTATTACTTGCAGCTTCTAGAAACCATTGACACTATATCATGTTTGCCTTCCTAATGCATATATATGGATGGGGATACCAACCTTGCTAATGCCAGCTTCAAAAGTTTTGGATCAGAAAAAATGCATTTCATAATTTGTGAACACTTGAGTCATGTAAGACCACATAGTATTGGATGATGGCATATCAAAATATACCTTCCAAATTGAATTTGCATAACCTTTTAAAAATCCTAAAATAGGATTTTTAGGAATACAATTGGATGTGTCCTAGAGCTAGGAGTTGCCAATCCATGGCAATGATAGAGAGAATATTGTCACAATTCATACAAAAAGTTAAATATGAACTAGCCATCATTGCAACTTTCAATCCAATAACTGGGAGAATTAGAGAGGCTAAGTATAGTCTATAAATAAGCTTTTTGATGTTAGGGTTTTATTTTTGGGGAAGCGCTAGTGTTGAGTGTGGCTTTGTATGTGCTCTCTTTGATTGCAACATGATTTTTTATATAGCTATGTTATGGTGTGTGCCTCTGCTAAGTGGATTCCCTATTTAATTGGTAGTTCATCCACACTTGATCAAATGCAAAAAACCTAATTAATCTCTGCATCTATATGTACAATTCAAGCTGAGAAAGAAGAGTTATAGGAAACTCATTATTATTGTGGCTTTTATACCACTTGTTTTTCCCTAACCTTGACCACGATAGTAAGGAGATGATATGGTTGTAAGCAACCCAAGAGAATGATTTAAGAGACAATTTATAAATTTCAAATATAGAGAGAAAAGGGCCATAAATAATAGTGCATCCTTTTTTCTAATCAATTAAGGGTTTTAAAATATTTGGGATTAAATGTCCTTGGGTTTATATTGGGATAGGTGACTTCTCGGGAAGTCCAAAATCAAAAAATTACAGTGGTAAGGAGCTAAGTTTCTAGATGGGGCATAAGAATAAGAATGGAGTGATCAAAAAGGTTCTATAGTGTTGGTGGAGTGTTCACACTTGGGATCATGAATCATTTTGGTTAAAGTTTTAATATATTAACCACCTATTAATCTAAGCCCTTAATCTTTGAAGTGTTGATATATTAGCCATTTATCTAACACTATTTTTATTGCACAATCTCATTGGTACTTATTTATCTTTCTTATCATAATGAATATGGAAACTTCAGATAATTTGAAATTGCTACACTAACATAATGAAGTCATGGTTGAAGAGCTTTATATTCATAGATCTTTTGAGATTGTGAACTATTGGATGTGAACTAGTGTAGCGCACCTTATCTTTCTCCCCTTAAGCCAACTGGAAAAGGGGCAATTGCTTAATGAGAAAGCCCTTAGTGGCTATTTTATCCCCATTTATCCCCCAAGGTTCCAAGGATCCACGGTGATAGTATATCTAAATCTCATCCCATGATCACATGCGCTACACTCATTGTAGCACACTTTATTTCTCTCCCCTTAAGCCAACTGGAAAAGGGGCAATTGCTTAATGAGAGAGCCCTTAATGGCCATTTTATCCCCCAAGGTTCCAAGGATCTCACTTTATCTTTGTCTTTTTGCACCGGATCATAACATTGGTATTAGAGGAGTGGTTGCGATGGCCGACCAAGCTAAATGCTGGAATCCTATTGTCGATGGTGGTGCCGACGAAGCTGTGGAGATTTGGACCATTCAAGATGTGGTTCATGAGCTGCGAGCCCTTAATAAAAATCAGCAAGAGATGCAAGACGAGATGCATGGCATGATGGATACCATGCGTGGGCGTGTTGAGGCACTCGAGGTTGGACGGGGTAGCACTTCAAGTAAGCCTTCTTTGGTAGATCGACTCAAGATTCCAACTTTTTCCGGTGATGGTGGTGTGGACGAGTGTCTCGCTTGGCTAGCCAATGTGAAGAAGTTTTTGGCTACTAGAGGAACTCCAGATGCAAAGGCTTTAGTGGCTATTCCGATGGTTTTGCGTGATGCGGGTCTTCGATGGTGGAATTGGCTTGAGGAGTCCCGTGTTGCGGATAAGAAACCACCAGTGTCTACCATGGATGAATTTGAGGCTGCTTTTCGTTTACGTTTTGCCCCTCATTAAGATGTGGAGAATGCTCGTACGGAACTTTGACATTTCCAGCAAGGGAAAATGACTCTCCGGGACTATATTGAGAAGCTTACTCGCTTGATTAGTCGTGTTCCAACGAAGGATCCAGATCAAAACAAGTCCTACTTCATTGATGGCTGTAAGGAACCGACTCCCCGAGATGTCGTAGGCTAAAGGATCCCCAAAAGCTTGACCGAAGTGACAAAGAGTTCATCGGATGGGACCAAGTCGAGGATCAAGTCCAAGACCGACTCTAGGACCGAGTTCGAGATAGAGTCCGGAATCGAATCCGAGACCGACTCGGGGACCGAGTTCGAGTCCGAGTTCGAGACCGAGTTCGAGACGGAGTCCGGATCCGAAATCGGGTCCGAGACCGAGTCCGAGGTCGAGTCCGAGGTCGGGTCCGAGATCGGGTCCGAGATCGAGTCCGTGATCGAGTCCGAACCCGAATCCGAAGTCGGATCCGAAATCGGGTCCGAGATCGAGCCAGAGACTAAGTCC